GGGAGAGCGGCCTCGTTCTCCTCCAGTGCTGTACGTCGACAACAAGGCCGCCCTTGCCTTGTGTCAGGAGCATAGACAGGAGCACAGAACGAAGCACATCGCTCTGCGCTACTTCCTTGCTCGAGAGCTGCAGCAGCGTGGTCAGCTTCGTCTCTCGTACGTGGCCACTCGGGCCAACACTGCTGATGTGTTCACCAAGGCACTTCCGCCTTGTGATCATCATCGTTTCTGTACTGTTCTAGGCCTTGTGCCTACTGTCCCTCACTTGCTCACTTCTTGACTCTGCTTGTACTGTGATCTCTATATATATACCTGCATGTTTACACTTGCTAGGTTGTGATCACTGTACCTCTTGTTATATTATCAAACTGCATGTGAACTGGTCTTGTGACCACTTGCTTGTGCTCAGAATTTGTGTGGTTTCCTTGAGATCCACCCTGAGCTTGCTTTGCTTTGCTTTGCTTTGCTTTGACTGGTCTTGTGACCATCCGGTTGTCTCCCACTTTGCCTATGGGGGTGTGTCAAACATCACATATGTTTGTGTTCTCTAGGCTGTAGTGGGTTTAGCCTTAGGGGGTACAATCTCTAGGGTTTCATACTTGTACTCCCAACTTTCCTAATGCAATCACTTCACTCATTCTGACAGTATGCGAGTTCGGCGGAGTTGCCGTATCCCTGGTAAGACCGTATATTCTGCTGCTGATTCGGAGTGATGTTCCTCAGTAGAATCGTGTACGCCATCATTGACTGATACGTGTACTGCTGTTTGTCGTACTGTGTGCCGTGTGTTGGGTATGGCAGGGATCCGTCGAAGAAACCAAGAATCTGCGCGCCTTCCATCATCAATTCGAACTCGAATGACCAGGTGAAGAAGTCCTTTCCGTCGAAGGGCCTTGACGTCTGCAGTTTTAAGACGTGCGCAAACTGTGACTGAACTTGAAGTGCGTCCAGTGTCTTCTCTTGTCCAGGTACAGGCTGTGGTTGTGGCATAAAGCTGACGGAGCCGCGCTGGGGCTCGTACGGAGCAAAGGTAGGTTGCTGCTGTTGATTTCCACGTGCGTAGGATGAACCATCAAGGCTCATTGGAGTCGCGTTGTTGTTGTTGTTGCTGTTGTTTGACTGCGCAGGTGCCGACTGTTGGTGTTGCTCGTAGAAGGACATGAAGGAGAAAAATTTCTCCATCATGTTCTGATCGAAGCTTGCAGGTTGATTCGCGGGAGTCTCGGTAGAAGTTGCTCTTGGTCTTGTTGCCGTACCCTCCTCTGTCTGTAGGCCAGAGGCAGGAGGTGGAGTAGGAGTAGTACCCGGGGAGCCGTTAGAGGAGCTCCTTTCCTTTTGTGTTGCCATGACTTCTGACGTTGTAGATAACGTGATGGTAGTTGAGTTCCCCCTGTTAGCTCTCATACCATATTGGGCTGAGAAAAAGCCCTTAGGATCTTTGCAGGGCTGAACTCTGGGTAGGACTTGTTGTAATAGCGGAAGCGTTTTAATGAAGAGTTATGAACCACCTTGCGCTGGTATATGAGGGCAAAGTGAATTGGTTAAAGCAAAGAGATACAAGATTATATAAGAGTACAAGGGATACCGTTGTAACTACTTTACTGTTGCTGTTGCGGTTCGATACAGTGACGACTCGGGCAACTGCTCTGTAACGAGTCAGTTGTGTGTCCTTGCTGTCGCGCTGTATTTGTCAGGTCAAAGGTCGCTGACCTTTGACTTTCGCGTAACCTCCAGCAACTGCTCAACCTCCGAGGGTTGACTCGCCTGTGCTTCGATATGCTTCGCTTCGCTTCTGACTTGGTGTTTCGACACGACAGAGACGCTAAATCAATTGTTTCCAACATTTTAGCGGTGTTGTACAGCACTGTACACTCAGTTTGGGTGCCAGTGTGGACAAGAGTTCCCCCACCCCAACCACTTGCATTTGTCAGGTTGCTCCTCCGTGGCCGGCCGGAGGCTTGCCCTTTTTATTACACGATGCACCATCCTTCTCTTTTCGTTAGTCTTTTTTTATTTAATTCGGTGCACAATTTGTGTACGACGCATGTACTTCCATTACAGGCGAGAGCACCCTGAAAAGAGCAGAGCCTCCGGCAATTCCACCTGTGAGCCTTGAATCCGTGCTAGTCTTGAATCCGTGCTAGTCTTGAATCCGTGCTAGCCACGAAATCTCCAGGCTTTGTGGGTTGCAGCCACAGCAACCTGCTTTTGAGGTGCCTAAGCAAATACATCCCTCATGCTTTGTTAGTTCCAGGAGCAGCGACACGCTCATACACTGCCAGAAACGTGCGGCCTCCGTTTCTTTGCACCTGGAGGTTGTGTGACGGGCAAGCGCACAGGAGGGTGACAGGTGAGAGGCATGGGGTGAGGGTCATGGGGTGAGAGGCATGGGGTGAGGGTCATGGGGTGAGAGGCATGGGGTGAGGGTCACGCAGTTCCCATCATAGCAAACACTGTTGGAGGTTTTACTTGGGACGAGGAACTACCTCCCAACCAATCACCAACACGCCTACGTCGTTTTAGCGTGATGCATAGCAAATTGCAGACATGACCACACGAAGGAAAGGAGGCATGTATTCACTGCATTCACTGCATTCACTGCATTCACTGCATTCACTGCATTCACTGCATTCACTGCATTCACTGCATTCACTGCATTCACTGCATTCACTGCATTCACTGCATTCACTGCATTCACTGCATTCACTGCATTCACTGCATTCACTGCATTCACTGCATTCACTGCATTCACTGCATTCACTGCATTCACTGCATTCACTGCATTCACTGCATTCACTGCATTCACTGCATTCACTGCATTCACTGCATTCACTGCATTCACTGCATTCACTGCATTCACTGCATTCACTGCATTCACTGCATTCACTGCATTCACTGCATTCACTGCATTCACTGCATTCACTGCATTCACTGCATTCACTGCATTCACTGCATTCACTGCATTCACTGCATTCACTGCATTCACTGCATTCACTGCATTCACTGCATTCACTGCATTCACTGCATTCACTGCATTCACTGCATTCACTGCATTCACTGCATTCACTGCATTCACTGCATTCACTGCATTCACTGCATTCACTGCATTCACTGCATTCACTGCATTCACTGCATTCACTGGCATTCACTGCATTCACTGCATTCACTGCATTCACTGCATTCACTGCATTCACTGCATTCACTGCATTCACTGCATTCACTGCATTCACTGCATTCACTGCATTCACTGCATTCACTGCATTCACTGCATTCACTGCATTCACTGCATTCACTGCATTCACTGCATTCACTGCATTCACTGCATTCACTGCATTCACTGCATTCACTGCATTCACTGCATTCACTGCATTCACTGCATTCACTGCATTCACTGCATTCACTGCATTCACTGCATTCACTGCATTCACTGCATTCACTGCATTCACTGCATTCACTGCATTCACTGCATTCACTGCATTCACTGCATTCACTGCATTCACTGCATTCACTGCATTCACTGCATTCACTGCATTCACTGCATTCACTGCATTCACTGCATTCACTGCATTCACTGCATTCACTGCATTCACTGCATTCACTGCATTCACTGCATTCACTGCATTCACTGCATTCACTGCATTCACTGCATTCACTGCATTCACTGCATTCACTGCATTCACTGCATTCACTGCATTCACTGCATTCACTGCATTCACTGCATTCACTGCATTCACTGCATTCACTGCATTCACTGCATTCACTGCATTCACTGCATTCACTGCATTCACTGCATTCACTGCATTCACTGCATTCACTGCATTCACTGCATTCACTGCATTCACTGCATTCACTGCATTCACTGCATTCACTGCATTCACTGCATTCACTGCATTCACTGCATTCACTGCATTCACTGCATTCACTGCATTCACTGCATTCACTGCATTCACTGCATTCACTGCATTCACTGCATTCACTGCATTCACTGCATTCACTGCATTCACTGCATTCACTGCATTCACTGCATTCACTGCATTCACTGCATTCACTGCATTCACTGCATTCACTGCATTCACTGCATTCACTGCATTCACTGCATTCACTGCATTCACTGCATTCACTGCATTCACTGCATTCACTGCATTCACTGCATTCACTGCATTCACTGCATTCACTGCATTCACTGCATTCACTGCATTCACTGCATTCACTGCATTCACTGCATTCACTGCATTCACTGCATTCACTGCATTCACTGCATTCACTGCATTCACTGCATTCACTGCATTCCCTGCATTCCCTGCATTCCCTGCATTCCCTGCATTCCCTGCATTCCCTGCATTCCCTGCATTCACTGCATTCACTGCATTCACTGCATTCGCTGCATTCGCTGCATTCGCTGCATTCGCTGCATTCGCTGCATTCGCTGCATTCGCTGCATTCGCTGCATTCGCTGCATTCGCTGCATTCGCTGCATTCGCTGCATTCGCTGCATTCCCTGCATTCCCTGCATTCCCTGCATTCCCTGCATTCCCTGCATTCCCTGCATTCCCTGCATTCCCTGCATTCCCTGCATTCGCTGCATTCGCTGCATTCGCTGCATTCGCTGCATTCGCTGCATTCGCTGCATTCGCTGCATTCGCTGCATTCGCTGCATTCGCTGCATTCGCTGCATTCGCTGCATTCGCTGCATTCGCTGCATTCGCTGCATTCGCTGCATTCGCTGCATTCGCTGCATTCGCTGCATTCGCTGCATTCGCTGCATACCCTGCGTTCACTGCGTTCACTGCGTTCACTGCATTCACTGCGTTCACTGCATTCACTGCATTCACTGCATTCACTGCATTCGCTGCATTCGCTGCATTCGCTGCATTCACTGCATTCACTGCATTCACTGCATTCACTGCATTCACTGCATTCACTGCATTCACTGCATTCACTGCATCGACTGCTCTATCCTGAGCTTTGGATGATGTGAGGCAAACTGGCACACAGCTGACCTTGAGGCCTTCCTCTGAGGACGTGAAGAGCAGGGGAATGACCGGGTCCGCCTCCTGTGGTTCCCATGCACACACATGCACGCCCATGCAACCAGCACAGCAACCACGCACAGAGTACAGCAAGCAAGCCAGTGACACACACCATCCCAAAGACACACATGCGAAGGTGCGCATTTCTCATCCATCCAGACAGGTAACAACAGCCATTGCACAGAGGAATGCGGCGAGACAGCAGCACTGGCACGGAGTAGCGGAGCGCTCTAGAGGAGAAACACACGCGGTGAGCCCACCCACCAGAGACACACCAAGCCATGTGTGCAGTTCTTCCAAGAAACCATCTTATCGTCTAGAAACGAGAAGCACAAACGTGTGATGCGATTTGGAAACCCGAGCGTGGGCAAACAGAGGAGCTATGGCAAGGGCAGAGGAGAGAGTTACAGCACTCTACATGCCTCCCTGCCACGCCCTCCTCATCTTCTCTGCACCAGAACCAGCAGCTCACCATGTGGGTGGCAGCGAGCTCACCATCTGGGCGGCAGTGAGCTCACCATCTCAGCAGGAGTGAGCTTGCGGAAGAGCGGGTGTGCAGCCAAGTGGTCGTCCATCCACGTGCCCAGCTCCTCAACATCCGTGATGCTGTACAGGATGCCTGCTCGCATGACAGGGGGTGCCGGGGAACAAAGGGATGTGTGGAGTGAGGGAGAAAGCGAGTGGGGACAGGAGAGCCCCTGCCCAGCTCCTCCACGTCCGTGATGCTGTACAGCACGCCTGCTTGCACACACGGGGTGGAGGGGTGGTTGGTTGGGTTGGGACCTTGAGTTGGGTGTTTTTGAGAATTCTCAAAAACACCCTGCAGCGAGTTGGCTAATACATCACGTTTCGAAACGCTGTAGAGCAGGCTGCTTGTGCACACAAAGGGTGAATGGGGGGAGGAGGGGAGGTTGCGTGGGGACGCATGGGTGGAGAGGGGGAAATTGAAGCCACCGGCACTCGAAGCAGCCCACACGGTGGAAGATGAGTGCATGTGTGTATGGGTATGTGTGGGCTGTGTGCACACACGGAGCAGAGCAGCCCACACGGAGCAGAGCATCCCGCACATGGTTCAAGGTTAGGCCGAGAGGGAGGAAAAGGGGGATGAGCACAGGGAGGGCAGGATAGAGTGGGTTGATGCAAGCTTGGGTGATTGCATGGGCCTTGAACATTGGCTTCTGAGGTGACTGATAAGCTGACTCACAACCTTGACAAGCAGGTTACAAGTGACAGGCACGATTCCTTCCAGGCACCTTGACGGCGGCGGCACCATCCATAATCTCTTGATTGTGGCAGATAGGATAATCTCTTGTGGTAATCACTCTCACCTCCTGCTATAGTCACACTCACCTCCTGGAGCCAGCACATACGCATACTCCGCCAAAAGAGCAGTCCTGTGATGAGAGACACGCACAGGCAGACAGGCAGAGAAGCAGACACGCAGACATGGTGGAAGGGAGAGTGCATTGAGAGGTGCATTGCATGCCACGGAACGGCATGGCATGTACAGCAGGCACATCAGCATGCATGCAGACTACTCAAAAGGGCAAGCAGGCCCACGAATGCAAGCATGCACCCATCACCATGGCATGAGGCCTGTGTGCATGAACAGGAGTACATGGGTCTGTACGGCAGGAGACGAGGAACATCTTGGCGACCTGCTGAAAATCTGGCGGTCAGATGAGTTTTTCAGACGTCTCAAAAACACACTTTTATCACGTGTCTACTCACGTGATGATTCGGCGGCGGTGGTTCTTCTCCTTGAAGTGCGGGTCAGGGAAGAGGAAGAACATCTTGGTGAGCTGCAAAAGGGGGGGAAAGGGTTGAGATGAAAGGACACAAGACAATGAAGTGCGGGCCAGGGAAGAGGAAGAACATCTTGGTGAGCTGCAAAAGGGGGGGAAAGGGTTGAGATGAAAGGACACAAGACAATGAAGTGCGGGCCAGGGAAGAGGAAGAACATCTTGGTGAGCTGCAAAAGGGGGGGAAAGGGTTGAGATGAAAGGACACAAGACAATGAAGTGCGGGTCAGGGAAGAGGAAGAACATCTTGGTGAGCTGCAAAAGGGGGGGAAAGGGTTGAGATGAAAGGACACAAGACAATGAAGTGCGGGCCAGGGAAGAGGAAGAACATCTTGGTGAGCTGCAAAAGGGGGGGAAAGGGTTGAGATGAAAGGACACAAGACAATGAAGTGTGGGCCAGGGAAGAGGAAGAACATCTTGGTGAGCTGCAAAAGGGGGGGAAAGGGTTGAGATGAAAGGACACAAGACAATGAAGTGCGGGCCAGGGAAGAGGAAGAACATCTTGGTGAGCTGCAAAAGGGGGGGAAAGGGTTGAGATGAAAGGACACAAGACAATGAAGTGCGGGCCAGGGAAGAGGAAGAACATCTTGGTGAGCTGCAAAAGGGGGGGAAAGGGTTGAGATGAAAGGACACAAGACAATGAAGTGCGGGCCAGGGAAGAGGAAGAACATCTTGGTGAGCTGCAAAAGGGGGGGAAAGGGTTGAGATGAAAGGACACAAGACAATGAAGTGCGGGTCAGGGAAGAGGAAGAACATCTTGGTGAGCTGCAAAAGGGGGGGAAAGGGTTGAGATGAAAGGACACAAGACAATGAAGTGCGGGCCAGGGAAGAGGAAGAACATCTTGGTGAGCTGCAAAAGGGGGGGAAAGGGTTGAGATGAAAGGACACAAGACAATGAAGTGCGGGCCAGGGAAGAGGAAGAACATCTTGGTGAGCTGCAAAAGGGGGGGAAAGGGTTGAGATGAAAGGACACAAGACAATGAAGTGCGGGCCAGGGAAGAGGAAGAACATCTTGGTCAGCTGCAGGAGAGAAGCAGGGGAGAGGGTGAGTGAGGCATGAAGGGGGATGAGAAGGACCGGGGGGTGGGAAAGGAGGGGGTTCGACGACGGAGGAGGGGTGAGGAGGACGGGGATGGTAAGGCAAAAGAAGGCAGATTGATGGGGAGGTGGTGGACAATAGAGATGCCAGTTGTCTGAAATGGCATGCCATTTCAGACGCCTAAAAAGTCGGACAATGGATATGCCAGCTGTCAGGGATGACATGCCAATGGGCAGGCAGTCAGTGCTTACGCCTCAGTACAACACGGACTCTCTGCATGTTTTTTTTTTTTGTTTTTTTTTTTTTCTTCAAAGTTATATTGCAGAAAAATCCCTCCGAGCGGCAGAAAGCTCTTGGAGCAGTTACGTACGACGTACGCACGTTGGATCTGAAGTCTACGTTCGTGCCCACCTGTGCCCCGTGCATGCTCCCCCCACCCCACCCGTGCCGTGTGCCCCGCCTGTGCCTAGTGCGTGCCCCACCCACCCACCTGTGACTTGTTCCCCCAACCATCGCTCCCCACCTGTGCTTTGTTAAAGTAGTTGGGCAGGTATTTCATGGCGTTGGTGCGGATCAAGGAGATGTTGCTGTACTGGTGGGGGGGAAGGGGACGGGGGGTGGGGGGTGAGTGAGGTGAGATGAGAAGGAGAGCGGGTCACAATGAGCTGGTGTAGTGGGGTGGATGGGGAGAAGGGAGACTTGTGAGACGTCTTTAAGGAAGTAGTTAGGGAGGTATTTCATGGCGTTGGTGCGGATCAACGAGATGTTGGTGTACTGGTGGGGGGGGGAAGGGGAGGAGGGTGAGGGGCAGAGGGAAGGGTCACAAGATGTTGGTGTGGTTGAGGGGGGGGGAAACGGGCGAGGAGGGAGAGGAGAAAGAGGGCCAAAAACGAGAGAGGGGGTTGGGAACGAATGACAATGAAAGGGGAGGGTACCTCAAACTGAGAGAGCATCTAGATAATAACAAGTGGGGAGAGAGGAGCAAACGGGCAGACTAAGGTCGAGGAAGCAGAACAAGGGAGCTGCAAGATGCAGCGGACAGATGGAACAGAGACACGGTGAAATAGGAGGGAGGGAATGGTGAGCGATTAGGTGAGAAAGAGAAAGACGGATGGGTGGGTGGGCGGGGGGAGCGGGAGAGAGGGGAAGAATGTGACTCTTGAGGATTCTCAAAAGAAAGGCAGGTACCTGCGAGGGGTGTTGCTGTCTGAGAGCCAGTATGCGGTCCTTCACGTACTCGCTCACCTGGTGGTTGGGGGTGGGCAGCACAGCGGTGGGAAGGGGTGAGAGTATAGTAGAATGGGGAAAAGAGGTAGTGCGAGGGAGGGAGCAGGAAGGGTGTTGCTGTCTGAGAGCCAGTATGCGGTCCTTCACGTACTCGCTCACCTGGTGGTTGGGGTGGAGGTGGGATAGATAACAGAACGTGGGGAAAGCAGGTAGAGTGTGAAGGAGGTGGCAAGCATGAGGAGAAAACAAGGATGATGGAAAACACTTACACACAGCTACGCACACGCGCATGCACGCACACAGACATGCACGCACACGCAGATCACACGTTGACATCATGCCTGCAACGATTGTGAACATCACAATGGGCGGCCAGCTGGATGGCGTACTTTGTCACGTAGCTCGAATCCAACCATGAGTGTATCTGGGAACATGGGAGACAGCTTCACTGTGACAAAAGGGGAATATGGGGTGGGGGAGGGGAAGGGAGGGGGAGCGGGGGAGAAAGGGAGGGGGAACGAGGGAGGCGGAGCGACGGAGAGGGAGGAGGAGGGCAAGGGAGTATGGAGAAGTTGGTAAAGCGGCAAGCCAGGGGCGAGTGATGGGAAAACGAAGTGTGACAACGTGAAGGTGCAGTGAGAATGATGGGGCCATGGCAGTGCAGTGGTGAGGTGCACTTGCCAGAGAGCGGAGGGAGGGAGGGAGGGAGGGAGGGAGGAGCAAAAGGGACGCCAGGTGAGGTGAGGATGCGTGGAGTGGAAAGGCCAGCATGCACGCCCAACAGTTTGAGCCCCCAACCCAACGCACCTAGCAGGCCACCAAAGCCGCACCCGACGTCAGCAAAGCGAACCATTGGTTGGCCCGGGCCCGGGGTGCTGTTGCTGCTGGTTGGTGCAGTGGAGGCCGTGGTATGCTGCTGCTGTGCCGCCCCTGCAACGCACGAACAGAGGGAGAAGGAGGAGGATCAGTGAATCCGTAACCTTGTCAGCTCAGCTCTTACCCCGTGATAGCTATCACATACATGCGATGCGACACTCACTCCCTGTACCCGCATTTCCCCCCTCCCTCCCCCCCTTCCACCACCCTCACCCATCTCTACCCATATCCCTCACTCTAATCACCACCCTCAAAACAGCCCACTCCCTCGCCCCATCTTTCTCGCCTCACCTCCCCCCACCCCATCGTCCCTCCCCTCAGCCCCCCCGACTCAGTCCGTACCATCTCGTGCCGCTGACAGGCCCACCTCCCCCTCTGCTGCACGACCAGCAGCTGCAGCAGCAGCACCATCCGCTGCTGCAGGGGGTTGTGCCACAGCAGCAGTGGGGGGGAAGAACGCGGGGAAGTGCGCGGACCAGTCCACCTCCGCGGGGCACACGGGGCTGCACGTGAGCGCAAGGGGACGAGCAGGGGGGAGGAGGGGGGAAAGTGGGGGGTGGAGCGTGGGGGTTGCCTAAAAGGGACGAAGGGGTGGGGAAGGGGCAGAGGAGAGGAAGGGAGCAAGAGGGGGTGAGGAACGGTAAGGTTGGAATAGGGACAGGGGTGTGCAGGTAAAGGACTGCTCGCGTGCTTGCGCGTCGGCTTGTCAGTGGTAAAACCCCGCGTGATAAACCCCGACGCCGAATCCTGGCGAGCTAATTATGGTTACCGCGCGAAGCCTACACGACAGCTAGTAGAAGCGCGAGTGAAACCCTCGGCCGGCCAGACCTCAAACAGTAACGCAGCCTCCAGTAACTCAACCCTAACCCTAACCCTAAAGCTAACATTGACGTGAGGGAAAGGTGAATCAAGCCAGGCACTTGAGCACCCGCTCGAGTTGGCCAAAGTAACGGCCAGCGGGGAAACGGCCAAACTTGCGGATGGCGGAAAAGGAAGATCTTGCAAGGCGTTTCGGGGATGGAGGAGAAGAAGGCTGTAGGGTGATGCCGCACGCAGAAGGAACTCTAATTCGGCGTGGAGATCGATGGTTGCTGCACGGCGCGCGTGCCGGCTCGGAACTCCGCGCAACACATTCCGTCCTACCGACTCCGTTTGGGAGAAAACGAGCCCCTCTTAGGCTCCCGATCCGAGCTCGCAGCGATCGCCCTCTTCCTGCGCTGACATTCTATCCCCGATACGCACTTCACTAGACAAGCCTCGGACATCCACTAGCCTATGGCACGTGCGATCAGCTAACGTAGCGGAGGGCTGGGACGCATACGAAGGACTGGAAGCGCAAGTGTTATACACTAAATCGGACGGTAAAGAATGAGAGAGGTGGTTACACTGGAAAGAGGTTATCGCTGAGCGGGTTGCTGTGCGCTCGAGCGCGGTAGAAGCGCTTCTGCGGCAACGCGGCGCCGCTGCTGCTTGGCGGCTTGCGCTGCTGGTTCGCCTTCATTCTGGCGGACGTAGTACGGCCTTTGTGGGTACTACTGGAGGAAGGAACGCGGCGCTACAATAACGAGTATGCGTGGTGGAGTGGGTTGTGGTTGCTGGGGTCGTGGTTGCTGGGTGCAAGCCGCATTCACTTCGAGATGCGTGCATTCCGTTTGCGATCACAGTTACACTCTCGCGGATTCTGCGAAGTTTGGACGAGGTGATCTGCAGCGCTTGACGATTCGTTCTCAACCTCGCAGCGAGTTACACAACGAACAGCACAATGTGAGCACCTGCGTGGTTTGTATAAGTAACAGTAACAGTGCCTTGCAACTTTTGTGTTACAGTAAGCAATAGTACGGTGCTGAGAGGTGAACATCCGAACGAATTGCGGTATGTGCAGATGTTCCACGCTCTTATTCGAGCACGGCCAGCGCAAACTTCTTATCGCGTATGGCGAATTTATCTTGCTCAATGCCTCGCATTGGGAACTCAAGCTGCATCATGCATGCCCCGTATTGACGCTTATGAGAGCTCCGCGAGAAACCATCTTCCCGCCAGCCTGGCTGGTGGTTACGATGCCCGATTGACGGGAGCAAGGTGGACGAACCCTGGATGCATGCGCCGTTTCCAAGCGTTTCCCAACGTGAAACCAAGTGGCTTGGGAAAGTGGCGGAGTGATCCAGCGCTGCACTTTAGTCTGCCAGATACCCGAAATCTGAAAGGTTCATTCGACTGGCAGCGGAGCACGGTGAGTGTGCTGCCTGAATCCGAGTAAATTGTGGACAGGGCGTGAGAAAGTTACTTGTAGTAAGGCTTCGGACTTCATCACAGTAAAGGCTCACTCTCCCGTCGACCGAATTTCGCGCTGACGAGATGGATGCCTCAGGTTTGTGCTTGGCAAATTTCCTTCTCCGCTGTTTTTTCCTAAATTATGGTGAATCTAACCCTTTCTTACAGTCTCATTTAATATCCTTCCCTCTTCCTCTTGCGTGTCTCCCCACTCCTCCACCTTTCACGGTTTCATGATCCCTCGGCGAGCTCCTCTCCTGATGCAGTCGACGTGCTGCCAGCTGCACTCTGGCTTCGAATCTTCCACCATCTGCATCTACCGCCCTCCCACCCGAACGATCCTGCCATCCGCGGCCAAAGGCACACTCCCCACGGTCTCGCGTCGCCTATCATAGAGCACACGGGTGCCCGTGATCTGGAGCTGTTCAGCATCTATGCGCCCCCTGGCTGTGAGCAGTCGGGCGACCCTGCTGGGGTGAGCTTTGAGGCGCCTCAAAGCTCACCCCAAAGGCACACTCCCCATGATGGTCTTGCGTCGCCTATCATAGAGAGGACGGGTGCCCGTGATCTTGAGCGGTTCAGCATCTATATGTCCCCGTCTTCTGGCAGTGAGCAGTCAGGCGACCCTGCTGGCAGCACGCAGAGCGGAGGAAGCAGCGACCAGCTCACTGACCAGCTGGGGTTCGATCTTGATTGCGAGCCACTGTGGTTACGTGACGAGGGCCTCACTGCCTCTGAGCAGTGGGGCGACCCTGCTGGCAGCACGCGGAGTGAAATCAGCGACCATCTCACCGGGGTCGATCTTGATTGCGAGCCAGTGGATTCCCGGTGTGAGGGTGGCAATGAAGAGGGCGGCAGTGAAGAGGGTGGCAGTGAAGAGGGCGGCACTGAGGATGGCAGCAGTGAGGAGGGCGGATCTGAGGAGGGCGGCACTGAGGAGGGCGGCACTGAGGAGGGCGGCACTGAGGAGGGCGGCACTGAGGAGGGCGGCACTGAGGAGGGCGGCACTGGGGAGGGCCCCACTGCCTTCGAGCAGTACGAGAAGAACGCCCACGCCTTTGGTGCCTCGTGGCCTTTGCTCTGCTGTGCTCTCGCCAGCAAGAGGCTTCTCAATCTCGTCATCGCTTTCTCCGTAAGCGATCGCTACTTGTGTCTCCTTCACAATTCTCTCGTGTCAGTTTCGCTGGGCAGATCTTGCATTTGCTCATTCACAAAAGGTCGAGCTTTCACGTTAGCCGTCGGTGCAGTGCAGTCCACCCGTGAGTGTCAGCCTTCAGCTTTGAGCTTGCATCCAGCTTTCATCTTTCATTAATATTTTCCTGTTCAACCATACATGCAGGAGAGCCAGCCCATCTCTCTCAGGTACAACGCCCAGCGCCCACAGTGGATGCAGACCATCCGCTTCTTCCTTGCCCACCCGGGCCTCCACTCCCTTCACCTCCGCTTCTCCAATCCCGAGCAACTGCCTACTCTCGGCACCTGCATCGCTCGCTGCAGCCCCTCCCTCTCGTCCCTCCGCCTCGAGCTGCAAGGCGCTGTTGATTTTTTCAAGGAGCAGCAGAACGAGCACTGGACGCTGGGATTTCTCAGGACTTGCGGCCAGCTGCGGGAGTTGAACCTGGGTCGGGGCATGTGGGTTCTGAACAGGGAGTGCGTAGATGCTGCATGTCTCAAGTCTGTCCGCAGTCTGACCTTGGAGCGGGTGGCGTTCAAGAATGTGAGCTTCCAGGTTTTGGATTCCATCTCGCCGCAGCTGCACGAGTTCACGCTCTACGAGGATCATGACCTGCGTCTTGGCCCCCGCCTTGCCTCCCACACTCTCGCCCTCTCCTTCCCGAACGCCCGCCTCCTCCGCTTCCGCTTTGCCAGCAGCGAGCTCAAGCTCACCCTCACCGTCTCGCCTGCGCTCAAGACTCTCTCAGTGATGGCCAAACGGCTGGTCCTCTCCTGCAAGAGTGCCGCCCCTCTCGCTCTCCACCACCTCTCGCTGTACGGCCAGGAGCGGCTCGACATCTCCTCCCTCCGCCTCGCATCCGTTAGGGTTGCCTATTTGGACGGCCCTGGCAGTGACCAAGAGGGTTTTTCCAGGGCTGCTTATTTGGATGGGCCCAACAGTGACTCTGAGAACAGCTTTTGGACCGAATGTCTTGGCACCATAGCGCCTACAGTGGAGGTGCTTATAGTGAGGCATGGGGTGCCTATAGAGAAGGTGGATGCAGAGTGGACGAGGCTGCACAGCCTTGGGATTGTCGTGCACACCAAGGGGACGCATGTTTGGGACAGGGAGGCCACTGTGGATAACTTAAGGTTCCTTACGGACGACGTGATTGGGGGATATTGCAATGATGAAGAGGATGAGGAGGAGGATGACCATGATTGGGACACTGGTGATGATGATGATGGTGATTGGTACGAGCAGGCACTGGCACGCTATGGTGCCCACACCGGAAGCAGGCACAAGGTTCAGCCGGACAAGAACAAGGTCTGTGCCAAGCCTCCCACCCTGTGTGCTCCGAATCTGCGGTTCCTCTTCTTCCCCTCCAGCAAGGCGTGTGACGCGCCCACACTGGCCGCACTGCGGCAGGACTACCCCGCCCTGGCGCTCTACTGTGTGGTGGACCGCTCCTTCTATTGGGAGAGGAAGGGGGTGCCTGTGAGCAATGGGCCGCTCGAGCATGTGAGGGCGGGCCAGGAGTGGGGTGGTGATGACTACCAGTCGTGGCGAGAAGCGTGCAAAGAATGTGAGGGAGAAGATGCATAGTGTGAATTCGACACTGGTGGAGGGGTACTGTGCTGAGGAGGATGAGACGTATGCACTCACGTTGAAGGAACGTGCCTTCTATTAGCCTTCAGGTTTGGGTACGATTGCTTTCACCATTTCTTATCCGTCTGTTTGGTTTAGACATTTAGAGCACCGTTCAATCGTTTCAGTAATGCTCTGTTGTTGGAGTTGATCTGCCTTGCTTGATTTGTGTTTCTTGCTGGTTAGTTAAACTGGTACCTTGTGAAGACTTTAATTAATGCACTATGCTTCTTTCGAGCACAGTTTGCAACGAGTAACGTACCTAACACCCACTTTCTATCGCGTACGGCGAATCATTCTGAGGCGACCATTCCAATTCCACCCTGGGAACTCCAGCCAACATGGCTGTCACATCATCTTCCGAGCATCAACGCGGTTCTCATCTCAGCAGTCCACGTTATCCAAGTCGGTAGCGCGCGCTCTCGCACAACCAGATTGAGCGGAAGGGTTTCCAGGTAGCGCTGCCGGAGGGGCGCAGTGTTTTATGGCAATGGGGAAAATCCCGTAAGGACGAGCATTTCGGACTGTGTGGCCTCCTCGGGAACTCCACTGTGCTGAGTGTCTGACTTGAATTGTGTCCTGAACCAGCCTGGCAGAGCCTGACGCAACAGAGGAACCTAGGGTATCGATCGACAGCTTCGTTACGGCATACGTGGTCCTGCCTGCGTGGGTGTCGTGCTGGTGGTGGTCCCAGCCACGTGCGAAAGGGCTGACCGGAGGGCCACCAGGGTTCATTCCCTGGGCGACCGGATCTCGCCATTCGTCACGATGTTGCCAGCAAGATCCGGTCACCAGGGTTCATTCCCTGAGCAACCCATTCGTCACGATGTGAAACTCCAGGGATTTCGCACAGGGAGTCTTGCTGAATGATCATATTATATATGTTATCTTGGTATTTTACGGGCTGCCTGGTTCCGATCAAACTGTAGAAGCGAGGGAAGGCTACTGGTACCGAGTGGGACGTGGGAAAACACCATTATGCCGACACTCACTGACGCTCACTGACTCTCACTGACTCTCACTGACGCTCACCGCTCACTTACGCTCACTGAGGATTCTGCAGATCTCGCCGTATGAGTTTGCTTAGCGTCGTCTTTCCTGTGCCTAGTCCTGCCTGATACGTGCAGCAAATGGCCCTAGTCCTCTCGAGTCCTTTCCGCCAGTGCCAGTCGCACCATCTAGCCTAAGGCAATCACGTGATTTACACCCTTGCAACTCTCGCCCGCTCATTCCCTGCAACCGAAATCGCTGAGGCGATGGAGGCTTCAGGTCTGTGCTGGTTAAGGTTTTTATGTTCCGCCATCTTTCGTATTTATGCTAAAGCGAACTATTTTTGCCAGTCCCATTAAGTCTCCCTTCCCACTCCCTCTTGCCTGTCTCTTTCTCCTTCCCGTTTCCCCCAACCCCACTCTTCTCCTTCTTTTTGGTTCGTCCTGCAGCTAACACCCCCCCTGATGCAGTCGACATGCTGCCAGCGCCTATCTGGTTTCGAATCTTCCACCTTCTGCATCAACCGCCCTTCCATTTGGACGAACCTGCTATCCTCGCCCAAAGGGAAACCTTCGAGCATCCCGCTGCGATGGCAGAGCGATTGGCTGCCCGTGAGGTTGAATGGTTCCGCACCCCTGGGTTCACTGCAAGCAGCGCCGGGCTCACTGCCTGGGGCCAGATGGGCCACCCTGCAGGCAGCGCAGCACACGCTCTCCAGATGTTCCACACCGCCTTCGGCCAGCCGGGCCACCCTGCAAGCAGCGCAGGGCTCACTGGCCAGCCGGGCCACCCTGCAAGCAACGCAGGGCTTGCTGCCCAGCTGGATCACCCTGCAAACAGTACAGGGCTCACTGCCTGGCAAGCGCAGGGCCTCCCTGCAAACAGCAGCACAGGGCTTACTTCCCAGCTGGGCCAGCTGGGCCACCCTGCAAACAGCGCAGGGCTCACTGGCCAGCTGGGCCAGATGGGCCACCCTGCAGGCAGCGCAGCACACGCTCTCCAGATGTTCCACGCCGAATTTGGCCAGCCGGGTGCAAGCAGCGCAGGGCTCACTGCCTGGGACCGGCAGGGCGACCCTGCAAGCAGCGCGCAGAGGGGAACCGGAACCGGAACCGGCGACCATCTGACCAACACAAAGGTTGATCGCGATCACTCACCAGTTGTATTCCTGGAAGAGGGCCTCACTGCCAGTGAGCAGCACAAGGAAAACGCTGATACCTATGGCGCATCATGTGCTCTGCTCTGCTGCGCTCTCGCCAGCAAGAGGCTTCTCAATCTCGTCGTAGCTTTCTCTGTAAGCGCTCTCAACTCCTGTTTCGCCTTCACAGATTTCCCTCCCCGCTTTCACCTGTTAATATTAGCCTCCAGCTTTCATTTTAGTTTGAACTTCCATTTTATCTTCCAGCTTTCATGTCAGCTTTCAGCCTTCATTTCGGCTTTCAGGTTTCAATGCAGCTCTCGTTTTAGCTTTCATATTTCATTCCATCTTTCAGCCTCTTTGTCAGCTTTCACGTTTCATTTCAGCTTTCAGCTTTGATTTCAGCATTCAGATTTCGTGTCACCTGTCATTCAAGCTTTCAGCTTTGAGTTTCATTTCAGCTTTAAGATTTTATTTTCAACTTACAGATTTCATTTCAGCTTTAAGATTTCAGCTTCCGTCACAGCTTTCAGATTCTCTTTAGCTTTCAAATTTCATTTCAGCTTTCAGAGTGCATTTCAGCTTTCAGCAGATACTGTTCCATCTTTCAAAAATCATTTCAGCTTTCTTTTCAGGCTTTCAGTCTTCGTTTCAGCTTTCAGCTTTTCTTTCAGCTTTCATTTCAGGCTTTCTGCTGTTTAATTTCGTCTCAGCTTTCAGATTTCATTTTTGCTTTCGAATTTCATTTAAGATTTTAGATTTCATTCCAGATTTCAGGTTTCATTTCAGCTTTCTGAGTTCATTTCCAATTTCAGCCTTCAGCCCTTGGCTTTCCCTTTGCTTTCACCTTTCCTTGTATGCGGATGGATAACGCTTCCCCTAGCTGTTAGCAACAAGAACCACCGGCTGCTTGTGCTGGAGACGGTGATGCCCAGGTGTGTCCTGAAACCGACCTCCACACCTCAGCTGTCTCAAATTTCAACTCCTCCACGCTCTCCCACCCCACCCACTTACAATCACAGGAGAGCCAGCCCATCTCGCTCAGGTACGACGACCAGAACCCCCACTGGTCGCAGACGGTCCGCTTCTTCCTCTCCCGCCCGGGCCTTCACTCCCTTGACCTCCGCTTCTCTCCCCCCGAGCATCTCCCCACTCTCGGCGCCTGCATCGCTCGAAGCAGCCGCTCCCTCGCGTCCCTCCGCCTGGAGTCGCAAGTCCCTGTTGGTCTCTCCAAGCACCAGCTGTCTCAAATTTCAACTCCTCCACGCTCTCCCACCCCACCCACTTACAATCACAGGAGAGCCAGCCCATCTCGCTCAGGTACGACGACCAGAACCCCCACTGGTCGCAGACGGTCCGCTTCTTCCTCTCCCGCCCGGGCCTTCACTCCCTTGACCTCCGCTTCTCTCCCCCCGAGCATCTCCCCACTCTCGGCGCCTGCATCGCTCGAAGCAGCCGCTCCCTCGCGTCCCTCCGCCTGGAGTCGCAAGTCCCTGTTGGTCTCTCCAAGCACCAGGAGAAAGAGTCCTGGTCGCTGGGTTTCCTGAGTGAATGCGCCCAGCTGCAGGAGCTGAACCTGGGGCGGGGCATGTGGAAACTCAACAGGCAGTGTGTTGGTGTCAACGTGGCATGGCTCAAGTCGATTCGCAAGCTGACGCTGGAGCAGGTGCATTTCGGGAGTTTGAGCTTCCAGCTTCTCCAGTCCATCACGCCGCAGCTGCACGAATTCACGCTCTATGAGGACGGCAACGTGCTTCGTGAACATCCCCGCGTGGCCTCCACCACCCGCCTCGCCTTCTCCTTTCCCATTGCCCGCCTCCTCCGCTTCCGCTTTGCCAGCACTGAGCTGCACCTCACCCTCACCGTCCCGCCCTCCCTCGAGACTCTATCAGTGATGGCCAAACGGCTGGTCCTCTCCTGCAAGAGCACCGCCCCTCTCGCTCTCCACCACCTCTCACTGTACAGTCAGGAGCGGCTTGTCATCTCCTCCCTCCGCCTTGCATCCGCCCGGGTTGCCTACTTGGATGGACCTGCCAATGACCAAGAGGGTTTTTCCTGGACGGAATGGCTTGGCACTATAGCTCCAACAGTGGAGGTGCTTATAGTGAGGCACGGGGTGCCTATAAAGAAGGTGGAGGCGGAGTGGGGGAGGCTGCGGAGCCTTGGGATTGTCGTTCCCCCCTGGGACAGGAGTGCCTGTGTGAACAACTGGGGAATGGGCACGGATGAGGGTGAGTGTGAGGAGCATTTAGACGATGGCAGATCGAGCTTTTCTTGGGCGGATGAACCGGAATATTTCGGCTCGGAGACAGATGAGGATGTGGATGAGGATGATTATATCTTTGATGATGCTGATGAGGATGAGGATGATGATGATGATGATGATAATGATGATGATGATGATGAGGATGATGATGATGATGATAATGATGATGATGATGATGATGATGACCATTATGGTGGTGTTTATGGTGTTGGTGGTTTTGGTGGTGATGACTATGACCGGCAGTTCTGGGCAATGTATGGTCCAGCCATAAACGCCAAGATAAGGGCTCGGAAGCGGTTGATGAAGGCCGTTTTTAAGCCGCCGTCCATCCGCGCTCCGAATCTGCTGTTCCTCTTCTTCCCCACCCGCAAGGCGTGTAATACGCCCACACTGGCTGCACTGCGGCAGGACTACCCCGCCCTGGCGCTCTACTGTGTGGTGGACCGCTCCTTCTACTGGCACAGGAAAGGGGTGCCTGTGAGCAATGGGCCACTCGAGCATGTGAGGAGGGCCAAGAGTGGGGTGTGGGATGAAGAGGAGGGGGAGAAGCGGCCCAAGAAAGTGAGGGAGAAGATGCACAGTGTGAACAGGAGGGTGGTGGAGGGGTACTGTGCTGGGGAGGACCAGGTGTACGTGCTGCAGTACCAGTAGAAGGGACGGATGCGTCTGGTATCAGCCTTGAGGCCTTGGTAACTTGCACTCTTGCTGGTTGAACCAGCCAGTAGCACATGACGATGGCATGAATTGGACGAGGTAGCATAAGCAGACAATCGCACGAGTCCTGATGTGTAGGTTATCAACATTGTTCCATTCAGTTTTGTTTCATACATGTCAATGTTGTGAACAAAGGTATGGTATGTGCCTACCTAACTTGCATCATTACCGATTATTGTTCAGTGTTGTTACTGTAGGGAACCGCGTACCCGGCTTTGCATACAATCTACCACATTAACGACGGCATCATGACAGCTGAGACATGAACAATGCTTATCATCATCGTAATGAAGGCCGCATGCATTATACTAGCACACATTCTAATGAGGGTGTGCGTGCTGAGGAGATAGATGGAGGCAGTGAGGAGGAGACGAGGGCGTCAGGCGGAGGGCAGCAGCAGCGCAGCAGCAACAGACCTTCCCTCCTCGTTGAGCACGTTGAGTGTGGATATGGCATGGCGCTGGTGGGGCGTTTAGGGAGGTGGGGACGGGGGGCCACACGCAAGGAAAGAAATGATGGGGGGAATGGCATGGTGCAGGGACTGATGGGGGGAATGACATGGTGCAGGCACTGATGGGGGGAATGACATGGTGCAGGCACTGATGGGGGGAATGACATGGTGCAGGCACTGATGGGGGGAATGACATGGTGCAGGCACTGATGGGGGGAATGACATGGTGCAGGCACTGATGGGGAGAATGACATGGTGCAGGCACTGATGGGGGGAATGACATGGTGCAGGCACTGATGGGGGGAATGACATGGTGCAGGCACTGATGGGGGGAATGACATGGTGCAGGCACTGATGGGGGGAATGACATGGTGCAGGCACTGATGGGGGGAATGACATGGTGCAGGCACTGATGGGGGGAATGACATGGTGCAGGCACTGATGGGGGGAATGACATGGTGCAGGCACTGATGGGGGGAATGACATGGTGCAGGCACTGATGGGGGGAATGACATGGTGCAGGCACTGATGGGGGGAATGACATGGTGCAGGCACTGATGGGGGGAATGACATGGTGCAGGCACTGATGGGGGGAATGACATGGTGCAGGCACTGATGGGGGGAATGACATGGTGCAGGCACTGATGGGGGGAATGACATGGTGCAGGCACTGATGGGGGGAATGACATGGTGCAGGCACTGATGGGGGGAATGACATGGTGCAGGCACTGATGGGGGGAATGACATGGTGCAGGCAATGATGGGGGGAATGACATGTGCAGGCACTGATGGGGGGAATGACATGGTGCAGGCACTGATGGGGGGAATGACATGGTGCAGGCACTGATGGGGGGAATGACATGGTGCAGGAACTGATGGTGGTGGGAAGAAGGAAGGGAGAGGGGGGTTGCTGGATAGGACATGGTGCTTTGAGGGGCGCAAATAGGAGGGCGGTGGGAAAGTGAGGAGGGAAGGAAAGGGTGGGGTGCTGGATATGGCATGGTGTTTTGAAGGGAGCAAATAGGAGGAGGGCGGAGGGGTCAGGGGTTAGGGAAGTGGGAGAGGTCAGCAGCCAAGATACAAAGTGGTGCTGAGCGGTGATAGGAGTGGTGCTGAGCGGTGATAGGAGTGGTGCTGAGCGGTGATAGGAGTGGTGCTGAGCGGTGAAAGGAGATGAAGTGTTGCATCGATGTTGTTAGATGTGTGAGACTCATCCATTGTATGAAGGAGCATCCCCCATCCAATCTCATTCCACAAGCCCAAACCCACCAGCACCACCAGCGTTCCAACCAGTAACAGAGGCACTCGCAGTTAAGAGCACTTCGAGCTTCATGCCAGCAGGTCTACGAGCAGTCTTATTGCTACCAGCACTACCAGCGGTGCCACAAATGAACCTTCACGATGCTCACACTACAACAGTAGCGGGGCACACAGCTCTCACAGTGGAGAGCACTTCGAGCTTCATGCCACACGCCCTCACGAACTCCCTCAGTTCCCCCGGTACTGCCTGCATGCGCTGTCCCGTGCCCAGTAGCAGCAGCTCTGCACAGCGAGAGAGGGGATGGTGGGTGGGGAACGGGAGAGAGGGGAGAGGACTTCTGAGTCGCCTCAGAAGCTCCCCCGGCACTGCCCCGCGCTGTCCCGTGCCCAGCAGCAGCAGCTCTGTGCAAGAGGGGTGGTGGTTGGGGAACGTGACGCGGGCGGGGAAGACCCTTTTTTAGGCGCCTCAAAATCTTCCTCTGCACTGCCTGCATGCGCTGTCCTGTGCTCAGTAGCAGCAGCTGTGCACAGAGAGAGGGGGTTGGGTAAGGGGGGGGACCAGGGGAAGGGGAATCCAAGGGCGAGGCGATGAGGGGAGAGGAGAGGAGAGGGGTGGAGAGAAGTGGACAAGATATGGAAAGGGGAAAGGGAAAGGGAGATTGAAGGAGGAGAGAAGAGGAGAGGAGAGAAAAGAAGAGGAGGAGGGGGGAGGAGAGGAGAGGAGAGGAGAGGAGAGGAGAGGAGAGGGGAGGAGAGGAGGGAGAGGAGAGGTGAGGAAAGGAGAGGAGAAGAGGGGAAGGGAGGAAATGGTTGCTTTCTACGCCTTGCCCATTCCATGCCACGCCATGCCTTGCCCATGCCCTTGCCTCCCATGCATGCATGCCCTACAAGGCAGCAGCACAGCATTGACAACACACCACACACTCAGCACGCCCTCTTCAAGAGCAAGCTCAACGAGCAACGCTGCAAGTAGCACAGCATTCACAGCAGCGCAGCATTGACAGCATTCAAAACAAACAGCATACGTTTCGTGTGCCATGGTAACGAGGTGACTTCTGAGTCGACTCAAAAGTCACAACGCTGCAAGTAGCACAGCATTCACAGCAGCCTGGCATTCACGGCATTCAAAACAAACAGCATACCTGGTTGCGGGCGAATGAGCTGAAAGAGAGCCAGGCTGTGTGGAAGGGACAGGTAGTGGCAGCAAGGGGGACAAAACAAGGGGAGGGGAGTGGAGGGGATGAAAAGGGGGTAGGCAGGGGCAGGGAGTGAGGAGAGTATGGGAGAGAGGGTGGCAGTTAAACTGCAAGCCTGGGGGGGGAATCGGGAAGAAATGGTGGAACCCACAGATAAGCCACAGGAAAATGGGAAGAATGGACGGAAGGCTTAAGCGGAGACCACACAGGTTGTTTCGTTTGCCTTGGGTAGAGAGCCCGAGGGTTGTCTGGTGTATGAGAAGGAGGTGAGAAAGAGGTGAGAAAGAGGTGAGAAAAAGGTGAGAAAGAGGTGAGAAAGAGGTGAGAAAGAGGTGAGAAAGAGGTGAGAAAGAGGTGAGAAAGAGGTGAGAAAGAGGTGAGAAAGAGGTGAGAAAGAGGTGAGAAAGAGGTGAGAAAGAGGTGAGAACGAGGTGGTGGCAGGGCAGGAAGGGACGGATGGAGACGAGTGAAGCGCGGGGGTGAGGAGGGCCAAAAACACATTGTGGCGGGGTGGCAGAGAAAGAGGAGGACGGAGGCGGTAAGGGCATGCGAGGAAGAGAGAGGCGAGTGGCGAGACGCGAGAGGATGGAGGAGGACGCAGAAAGGAGGGCAGACCTGCCATGTGCCGAGACGTCACGAGTGCAGCAAACGTATGAAGGAAAGGAGTGCCATGGAATGGAAGACTGACCAGCACCAGCAGCAGTGACAGCTCTGAGGTTACAACCGCTGCCACCACACCCCTCACCCCCCTCAACCCTCACCCTCACCCCTCTCCCCCCTCCCATCCCTCTCACCCCCCTCCCATCCCTCTCACCCCCCTCTCCCATCTAACACCTCCCCTCTCTTCGCACTCGCCCCTCTCCCCTCACCTGTCGGGGGTGACGTCAGCGAGGCAGGAGGGCGACCAGCAGAGCGCCACGTCACCCACACAGAGAATGGACGAGTCCAGGTCCCTTCCGCCCACCGTGAAGCCCTTGTCGTCGTACCTGCAAGGGGCATGTGGAATAGGTGAAAACGAAAAAAAGGCACATCGGGTCAGTGGATATGTGCAAGCCACAAGGCGAGTCCAGGTCCCTGCCTCCCACCGTGAAGCACTTGTCGTCGTACCTGGGACAGATAGGTGCAGGGGTGGTGGTGTGTGGAGGGGAGTGGGGGAGCATGGAGGGATAGGATAAGTGCGAGCCACAAGGCGAGTCCACGTCCCTGCCGCCCACCGTGAAGCCCGTGTCGTGTCGTACCTGCAGCGGGCGTGTGCAATGGGCGCAGGAGGTGCAGGGGAGTAGGGGGTGCAAGGGGTGCAGGGGGTGCAGCGGGTGCAGGGGTTGCACGGGGTGCAGTGGGAGGGAGGGAGTATGGAGGGAGGGAGAGACCGAGGGGCGAGGAAGGGACTGGGGCGAGCGAATCACGCAGTGATGAACACATATCCGCTACTCTCAGAAGGGAGCAACATGGGGAAAGAGCGAGAGCGGGGGTGTGCGGATAAGAGGAGCGCGGGGGGGGGGAGCGGCACTCACGCGGTGATGAACACGCGCCCGCTGCTCTCCGCCGCCCCTTCCAGCACGTTGAAGTTAGACGGCTCCGCTGCCCGCGCAATGGCGGAAGGCGCGGCTGCCCGCGCAATGGCGGAAGGCGCGGCTGCCCGCGCAATGGCGGAAGGCGCGGCTGCCAGATTGATCCTAGATGGTCCGGCCGCCAGACTCCTTCGCTGTTGTTGCTGGTGGGAGTGGTGGGGGTGGTGCTGATAGTGCGAGAGGGAGTGGGAGGCGCGGTGGTGGTATCGAGGAGGGTTGGCCTCATTCCTCTCAACCAGTTGGTGCGGGTGTGCCGCCGCATGTTGGAAAGCGCTTTCGCCGCCATCCCCGCTATGAGATCGCCCGTTATACGTGGATTCACTAATCGTGCCTATAACGGCACCGCTTAGAGCCGGCGTTCCGGCGGCACTGGAGGGCATCAGACGAGTCGACGCGCTTGCTAGTAGTGGACGGCAAAGCGCGCCGAGCTTCGATCGCGCAGCCATGGTGGCGTACGCGGGGCAGAGGAGGGAGCGGGAAGAGAAGAGCGCAAGGAACGACCGCGCAGTCGTGGAAGGGAGGAAAGGCGGTGGGAGGGGCGAGGGGGAAAAGGAGGGTGGCGCGGCGAGATGTGACGGGGCGACGAAATAGTAGAAGTGCGGGTGCTAGAGGAGCAGGATGCGCGATGGAGCAGAGTGAAGCAGAATTGTTGGCATGGGAATGCACAGATGCACAAATGCGGACCAAAGCACAAATCCAGAAGAGACAGACCCGCTACAAACTCGATCAGCTTCGGGAGAAAATGACAGATTTCACAAAAGTTCGTAAACTTTGTTGTCCTTCAAAATAGAACACTGTAAAACAATCATGCATGAGCTCAAAACTAAGACTGTTGAAACTTCGGGGCAGCAGCACCCTTTGCCCCACTTTGCCTATCGAGACAACGCCCAACAGAATTTCGAGGCACGTCAACATTCATGTCTGCATACATCACTGCCCAGCAACTCCCTCTTCATCCCCTCCGTGCCACACCATGCCTTGCTTGCTTCCCAGCACCGCCAAGCCTTCACAGGGCGCCCCACGTCACCTCAGCAGCACCCTGACCGAAACATTTGAGTCAACTTAAAAGGCAGCAGCACTCGAAGATCTACGCATCGCATCATCTCCCGCTTGCTCATTCTCCTCCAGACTGCACCCCTTGGGCTCCACAACAAGGCCGCACAAGCCCCATCGCACCCGGGCCCCAGCTCTCGAGCGGCGAGTCACGACACCCATCTACGCATCACTGCCGATCAGCTCCCTCTCAATCTCCTCCAAGCTCCGCCCCTTGGCCTCCACCATGCACGCGCACACAAACACCTCCCCGGCTCTCAATTTACATTACACGTCATGACACCCTGTTTCCCAGGCGAATCAACAGGCCTTTATGCGTCACTGCTGATAAGCTCCCGCTCAATCTTCTCTAAAATCCGTCCCTTGGTCTTCACGCAAGCACGCGCACACAAACAGCGGGGCCCACGCCAGCTCTCGAGCCAAAAGTCGTGACACTCTGCTTACATGGTGAGTCCACTCCACACACCCATGTACCGTCTACGCATCACTGCCAATGAGCTCCCTCTCAATCTCCTCCAAGCTCCGCCCCTTGGTCTCCACCACGCACGCGCACGCCCATTACAAGTCATGAGACCCTGTTTCCCAGGAGACTCAACAGGCATCTAAGCATCACTGCCAATGAGCTCCCTCTCAATCTCCTCCAAGCTCCGCCCCTTGGTCTCCACCACGCACGCGCACGCCCATTACAAGTCATGAGACCCTGTTTCCCAGGAGACTCAACAGGCATCTAAGCATCACTGCCAATGAGCTCCCTCTCAATCTCCTCCAAGCTCCGCCCCTTGGTCTCCACCACGCACGCGCACGCCCATTACAAGTCATGAGACCCTGTTTCCCAGGAGACTCAACAGGCATCTAAGCATCACTGCCAATGAGCTCCCTCTCAATCTCCTCCAAGCTCCGCCCCTTGGTCTCCACCACGCACGCACGCACAAACACCACCCCGACAAAGCACACCGCCGCAAACCCCACATACGCCGCCGCCACACCCACCACCTTCACAAACCCCAAAAAGGAGAGGCCTATAACGAAGTTGCAGAGCCAGTGCGTGGTGAGCGCGGCTGCGACGGCAGAGGCGCGGATGTTGGAGGGGAAAATCTCAGGGAGGAGCAGCGCGGGCACGGGACCGGCACCCATGGCGAAGGAGAGCACGTAGGCCACTGTTCCCAGCACAGAGAGGGGCGCTGCGATTGGCTGGAGCGGTGGGAAGGAGAGGGTGAGGGCTAGAAGGAGCATCGAACAGCCCTGGGGGATTGAGGGGGTTGGAAATGGGAGGGGGAGGGGGAGAAAAGGGATGAGATTTGGAGGGGAAGATCTCCGGGAGGAGCAGCGCGGGCACGGGACCGCCCCCCATGGCGAAGGAGAGCACGTAGGCTACTGTTCCCAGGACAGAGAGCGGGGCTGCCAGGGGCTGCAGCGGTGGGAAGGAGAGGGTGAGGGCTAGAAGCAGCATCGAACAGCCCTGAGGGAATGGGAGAAGCGGGTTGGGAGGGGGAGGGGGAGAAAAGGGATGGGATTTATGAGCAGTGGAGTGGAAAGGGGGTTGCAGAGGTGCGGATGTGGGAGGGGAAGATCTCCGGAAGGAGAAGGGCAGGCACGGGACCGGCCCCCATGGCGAAGAAGAGCACGTAGGCCATGGTGTCGAGGGGGGAGAGTGGGGCTGCGATTGGCTGCAGTGGTGGGGAGGAGAGGGTGAGGTCTAGAAGCAGCATGGAGAGACCCTGGAGGGATGGGGGGTGGGGGGAGGGGGGAGACGGGGGGAAGCGGAATGAGAGCGGGATGGGGATCGGGGATTAGTGGTTCTTGAACAAAAGGAGGAGCAGCGCGTGCACGGGACCGGCCCCATGGCGAAGGAGAGCATGTAGGCGATGGTGCCGAGGAGGGGGAGGGGCGCTGCCATGGGCTGGAGAGGTGGGAAGGAGAGGGTGGGAGAGGGTGGGGGGGGTGTTGGGAGTGGGAGTGGGAAATGCGAAAGGGAAAAGGGCTCTGCGGATTGACCAAGGAGAGCACATAGGTGACGGTGGTGAGGACAGAGAGGGGAGCTGCTATGGGGTGGAGAGAGGTGGGAAGCAGAGGGCGAGGGCCATTATGATCAGCAGAATAACCCCTTATGAGATGGGGAGGTGGGAGACGAGAAGGGATGAGCATTGTAAGCTGTGGGATGACATCGACCATCCCGGCGCCACACTGGTGCAAGCAGTGGGATGAAATTGATGTCAATTGGAGAGACAAGGGTTGCAGCATTCCATGAGGAGTGCGCATTAACATGATGGCATGTGTGATGGCATGTATGATTAGGCATGGCACACAGTGTCAGGCAGCGTTGCAGCGACATCATGCAACATCAACGTGCCATGGCATCATACATGCATACCACCATGCGACAACCCCATACCATACTATCTACCTTCCATCACCCATCACCACCCATCACCGCGCCCTACCATGCCGACAAAGGACCCCATGAGAAGGCTCTTGCGACCCATCTGATCCACAAGGTTCAGCGACACGGCCGTGCCTGGTGGGATGGAGGGATGGATGGGCAGGTGGGGAGAGACGGTGGCGCAGAGGATCAGAGGGAGAGAAAGAGGACCCCATGAGGAGGCTCTTGCGGCCCATCCGGCCCACCAGGTTCAGCAACACTGCCGTGCCTGGTGGGATGGTGGAATGGAGGGATGGATGCATGGATGCATGGATGGGGAAGGACAGAGACGGGTGGTGCAGAGGAGCAAGAGAGGGCACGACGGTGGAGAGGGAAAAGAGAATGGGTTGATAGGAGAGAAGCACAGCGCCATATGCCATGCGCCATACGCCATGTGCCATGGGCCATGCGCCATGTGCCATGCGCCATACGCCATGTGTGCAACAGTAGCTTCATGCAAGGTGCGGGAAGGTAATGCGTTGAGGGTCATCACACAGCATGCCGAGAAGGGTACTTAGCCCCGTACCTAGCACGTTAGCAAGGCCCACGAGGGCGCTGGCAGCAACGTCAGACTGAATGCATCCAGCCTGCCCACAACAAAACCTGCTCTGAAGGGTATCTAGCCTCATACATAGAACGTCATCCGAGAACGCTACCGAGAAGGGTACCTCGACCCGTCCTTTGTATGCCATTTGAACCCCTTAAGTAGCACGTTAGCGAGCCCTGTAAGGGCGCTGGCAGCAACGCCAGACTGAATGTCGGCGGTGCCACACCGTGGTGCTCACTGTGCTCTGTGTCATGCGCCATGCGCCCTGCACCATGCGCCATGCGCCCTGCACCATGCGCCATGCGCCCTGCACTGCGCCATGCGCCATGCGGCCTGCACCATGCGCCATGCGCCATGCGCCATATTCCATGCACCATGTGTCATGCGCCATGCGCCATGCGCCATGTTCCATGCACCATGTGTCATGCGCCATGTATCATGCACCATGCGCCATGCGCCATGCATGCCACGCCATCTCGACACACCTAGCACGTTGGCGAGGCCCACAAGGGCGCTGGCAGCGACGTCGGATTGAATGCCAGCCCGGCAGTGCCACACCATGGTGCTCACTTTGCCATGCACCATGCGTGTCAAGTCAACATGCCACGCCATCTCAACATGCGTGTCAAGTCAACATGCCACGCCATCTCAACATGCGTGTCAAGTCAACATGCCACGCCATCTCAACATGCGTGTCAAGTCAACATGCCACGCCATCTCAACATGCGTGTCAAGTCAACATGCCACGCCATCTCAACATGCGTGTCAAGTCAACATGCCACGCTATCTCAACATGCATGTCAAGTCAACATGCCATGCCATCTCAACACACCTAGCACGTTTGCGACGCCCACGAGGGCGCTGGCAGCGACGTCGGACTGGATCGCAATGTGGCGTGCGCCACGAGACATGTGTGGTACAGTGGCTTACCTAACCCTCTCCCTAGAACTATCAGCGTACCTAGCACGTTAGCGAGCCCCACGAGGGCGCTGGCAGCGACGTCAGACTGAATGCCGGCAGAGCGGAAGACAGAGGAGGAGTAGTAGATGATGGCGTTGATGCCCGCGAACTGCTGCACTGCGAATAGCGCCATTCCCAGCAGCACCACTGGGGGGAGGGGGGGAAGGCGGAGGGAGCGGGAAGAACAGGAGACAGGGGGAGAGACCAGGGAGTTGGGGGAGTGGGGGGGAGAGGGGTGGATGGAAGACAGAGGAGTAGTAGTAGATGATGGCGTTGATGCCGGCGAACTGCTGCACTGCGAATAGCGCCATTCCCAGCAGCACCACTGGGGGGAGGGGAGGAGCAGGGGGCAAGGGGAGAGATGGGGGATCCGGGGGGTAGGGGGGAGGGGAGGAAGGGCAGAGGAATAGTAGATGATGGCGTTGATGCCCGCAAACTGCTGCACTGCGAATAGCGCCATGCCCAGCAGCACCACTGGCGGAATGACAGAAGGGAAGGGGGGGTACCATGGGGTAAACAGGAGAAACGGGGGGGCGAGTTGGAGGAGGGGGTAAAGTACAGTGGAGAGTGAGCAGAGGGGCAGGGCGACGAGAGGAGGGAGGGAGACGAGTGGGATGGCAACGATGTGGGGTAGTGCGAGTGCAATTGCTGGGATGAGAAGCGTGGACAATGCGGCTGTGCAATGAAAGAGGCACAACAGCAGCATCATTAGACCAGCAGGGATGGATAAGGGTTGAGAAGGGAGTGACGGGTTAGAAAATGAAGGGAGCGGTGGTCAGCGACTCAGCGGTGTCCGAGCTGAGTTGACTTTTGAGTCGACTCAAAAGTCAACTCGGGAGCGGTGCGGTGGTCAGCGTCTCAGCGGTGTCCAAGCTGTCGAAAATGAACAGGTGGGCTGCGAAACAACTCAGCGAAGGCCTTATTTCCATCAACTCTTGCTGTTTAGGACAGAGAAACAAACCCCATGAAGGGAGCGGTGGTCAGCGACTCAGCGGTGTCCGATCCGAGCTTGGGAAGGGAGCGGTCTGGTGTGATGTGTCCGTACCTGTTGAAATCTAAAAGCTGCCTATTAAAGCCCAAGACCTGAATTACTCAACGGAAGTCAACGGGGGGCAAAACTGCCTGCTCGGTAGGCAAACTGTGCACAGTTTGCCTTCTTTTTTTGTAATCCGGGTCTTGGGCTTTAACTGACTGCAACAGTACGTTTGCGGCAGCGCTTGGAGAAAAGGGTGAGCAGTGAGGCTGATGAAGGTGCTTCATCCGCTCGTTTCCTCACTGAGCCAGCCTCTGCCTGCTCCAACCCATCCACTGCTGCGGCACCTGCTGCTGCCATGGCAGCCCCACCCGTACCTCTGCGGTAGCGCTTGGAGAAGAGCGTGAAGAACGACGCGGCAGGTACTTCGTCTGCCCGCTTCCTCGCTGCACCTGCCTCTGCCTGCTCCAACCCATCCACTGCTGCTGCCTTGGCAGACGAAGCAGGTTGAGGTGGGGCGGAGGACGAGTAGAGCTCCGCTGCCGCAGCAGCAGCCTGGGACGGACCCAGCAGGCGCTTCAGCTGCCTCTCCGCCTCGTCAATCCTGCCCACCTGTCGGGGTGAGCAGGCAGGGAGAGTTGTGAGAGGGGGTAAGGCAGGGAGAAGGGGAGGAGGAGAGATTGGCTGCAGCAGCAGCAGGTTGAGGCAGGGAGGACGAGGAGGAGAGCTCCGCTGCTGTTGCAGCAGCCTGGGGGGGACCCAGCAGGCGCTTCAGCTGCCTCTCTGCCTCGTCAATCCTGCCCACCTGTGGGGGCCCGCAGGCAGGGGAGATAGGTGGGGAAGGGGGTAAGGTAGGGTAGAGGGGCGGAAGCATAGGGAAGGGGAGGAGTAAGCAAGGAATTTAGCAAAAGGACACGGCCCTCGATTCACCTGCCTCTCCGCCTCCACGCCTCTCCACCTCTCCACCTCTGCGCCTCTCACTGTGTGTGAGTCGCACATGCAACCATGCCACCTCAGCCAACTATCTGGGCTCTCAGGCGCCCATGCCATGCCCGCAGAACATCTCCCCACCACCAACACACCCACCCACACCATGCCACGCTTCCACCGCACGCCGCACCTTAGCGAGCCATCTGGACTCTCAGGCGCCCACACCATGCCAGCAGCACACATAGGCCCCTGCTTTCACCGCACAACTTGCCATGCACCCACCGCACCGCACCATGCCCACTCATCCCACCTTAGCCAACCACCGTGGGCTCTCAGGCGCCCACAGCATGCCTGCAGCCAGGGTGGCTGCTGGTGCCACTCCAATCCAGAACATCTGCCGCCACCTGATTGGTGGAGAGGCGGGGGTTGAAAAGGAAGCAGAAGGAACGCGAACGGGCAGACATGGTAGTTATGGGGGAGTTTGTTGTACCGCGGTGGCACAGGGTTGACTTTTAAGTCAACTTGGTGCTGAGCCGACTCAAAACAAACGAGGGCAACAACCTCCCCACCTTGTTGCCCTCCTTGTTGCCCGTAAACAAGGTGGGGAGGTTGTTCCGGTGTGGTGCCCTCCTTGCAGCAGCAGGAGGTGGGTTTACATGGCAGCACCAGATGTGTGGACGGATTTTGTGTTCATATGGTGATCGCCTGCAATTGTATCGACCCTGGTGAAAAGCATTCACTTGTAACCGGTTCTTGGCTTATACCCTTCTTCCAGACCACCTCGCTAAAGAGCACGTCTCTTATAGTGTTGTACAGGGTTGAGAACTCCAAAACGTGACTCTTATATGATCGTAAACAGTGCAAGCGGCATACCAGGCGGGGTTGGCAGCGAGGGGCAGGCCGCCGAGCAGCGCAGCAAGGATGCCGACACAGATGGCCAGCTGGTTGAGTGACCCCAGGCGGCCTCGCACTGATGCTGGCGCTATCTGATGCATGGGGGATGGTGGGCATGGGGGGGGGGAGAATCAGAGGCAGGAGTGGGAGGAGAAGGTTGCGAGTCCGACTGGGCAGTTACGAAGCAATCTCATAGCAGCGTACGGCACGTGCGCCATCCGACGGACGGACTGGAGAACGGGTACACACATACACACCTCGGAGATGTAGACGGGGACAACGCAGGAGATGACCCCAAAGGCCAGCCCTGTGAGGGCTCGCCCCACCAGCATCTGCGGCACCGATGAGGCTGTGGCACTGCCGGGGGTGAGGGGAGGTGGGACGAGGGTGCAAGGGAGAATGAGGAATCGCGGCACGAGCAGCAGCGAAGGAGGCCCTAGCCAGAGCCTTGTTGGGAGAGCTGGAGGAGGCGGAGCGGGCGCAGCAGACTTTAGGGCACCTTGTAGAGAGGAGATGGGTTGCTAGAAGACCTTGAAGCACCTCGGGAGCATTGCAGGCAAAGAAGTGAGTACCTGAGTGCACTCCCGAGTGCGAGTGGCAGAGAGAGCAAGAGGAAGGTGGTTCGTCGGCCCACAGAGTCGGCAAGCCAGCCGACTGAGAGCGCTCCACACGCTGCTGTGAGCAGCGATGCACTCACCACCCAGCCTGGTGGGGGAACGGAGGGGGGAGGACACGGGGGAGGATGAGACATGACGAGGCGAGTAGCAGTGCGAAGGCTAAGGGAGACTGCTGTGAGGCGAGGGAAAGGAGAGGTGCAAGTCATAAGGAGCAAGCGCATGGGACGATCTGCACTGAGTGAGCGGGCAGTGAGGTAGTCGCCAGCTAGCCTTGCAGGGGAATGGGAGGGGAGGAACGGTGGACGATTAGACACGAGGAGGCGAGTACGGGGGATGATGAGAAAAGGAGACGGGTTAGTGAGACTGGTGTTGCTGTGAGGTGAGGGAAAGGCAAAGCTTACTAGGAGAGGACGCATAGGGAGAGGGGCAGGCATGGGAGTGAAGAGATGACAACAGACCGTGAGGCACAGAGAGATGGCAGTGAGAGGCGCACACACACAGATGGCAGGCATACCTGCTACAAAAGAGTTGCCTGGGGCGCCGATGCTGACTAGGATGTGATCCAACGGCCCATTCACGACACTGCCACGCATGAGAGGGGGAGAGAGAGAGGAGGGAATGATTTTTTTAAAGCGCCTCAGGAAGACACGAATTTTCATGCGCCTGAAAAAGAGTTGCGAGGGGCGCCAATGGTGACTAGGATTTGATGTGATCCAACGGCCCGTTCACCACACTGCCACGCATGAGCACAATAGAGGGAGGGAGGGACCGTGCATGGAAGGTGAACCGTGAATTTTGCTTTTTCTTTGAAAGTGAGGTGCAAGTGATACACGCACATGTGAGGAAGCAGGCAGGCAGCAGAATGAGGGGCGGCCCAGCTTTGGCATACCGCACCGCTACGTTGGTGCCACGTGTCACAACCTACACGTGTTGTGTTGCTACTATCCCATCACATCCACGGGTACTCGGTGTAACGGCCATCACCATGGCGTGACCAACCAAATGTGGTAACCATCACCATGCGACGGACCTGATGTGGTAACCACCACCATGCGACGGACCTGATGTGGTAACCACCACCATGCAACGGACCTGATGTGGTAACCACACCACCATGCCACGCACCTGATGTGGTAACCACCACCATGCGACGCACCTGATGTGGTAACCGAACGCGAATGCGCCAATGCACGCCACCAGCACGGCGGCCAGCACCATGCCTCCCCCCGCTCCCCCCACTCCCTCTAATTCCGCCCCACCCGCCCCACCGCCGCCACTCGCACGAGCCGCCACCGCCCTCCCCCTGCCGCCTCTGCCGCTCCTCAACCCTGGATTGGTTGCCGCGCTGCCCGCTGAGGATCGCGCGGCAACTGCGCCGCCGGGTACGGCGCCAGATACGGCGCCAGATGCGGCGGAGGCACCAGGTGGGGATCTCAAAGCGGTAGCTGTGATTTTTCGAGACATGAGGGATGCGGGGATGGCGGCGGGAGATGCGGAGACTTGGACGAAGTGGGAGGCGGAAAGTGGGGTATTTCCGGCGAGGTCGCGAGGGGCACAGGAGGGGCGAGCGACGGATCGGTGGGTATGACGGACGAAGGATTTGAAAGACGGCGACGATAACGAGAACGTTGAAGGGGCCGGAGACGGAGATAATGGGCTGGTTGTTCCTCCCTGTCTACGTTTGCGGGCTGAGCGCGCTGACAGTGCCGTTGACGGCAAGGTTGACGGAAACTGTGAACTTGACGGCGGGGGAAGAGCGCGCAACGATGTCGGCGCGCTTGGAGCGACGGAGGCAAGCATGATGAGAGGCGGCCGGAAAGCCCGCAATTAGTCTTGTGCGCTGCCTTGCAGCAATTACCGCTACTATGTTGGAGCCTCAACCCAAGTGGGCAAGCAGATTGAGGCAAAGCTTGAGCAGGGAATGCGTTCCCGCTATTGGCGAGTGCCGCGAACGCGAATGTCATTAATTCGTCTACACGACTGCAAATCTTGGGCAGAAGTAGTAAACATAAACGACCTTGAATAAACGACCTACATAATGAATAAAACGCTTACACTACCATTGTTTTAGATATGCCTTTCAGTTTCAGTAAGACTAAACATCAGATTCTAAAAAACGCACACACAAAGCAAAGGGGTTCATGAACAAATACCATGCCATACGTTGAAACTATGGTCATAGTTGGCAAAAGGGCCTTAGGAGCAGGTACAAGTGGCCATTTTACATATGTTAGAACCGTCCTTTGTACTTGAGCATGTGTGCCTCGTCCTCCTTAACACTGTACCCCTCCACCAGCTTCTTATTCACACTATGCATCTTCTCCCTCACATTCTTCGGCTGCTTCTTTTTGTCATAGCGAGTTCGCACTCCGCTCTTAGCCCGTCGCACATGCTGGAGTGGCCACCCATTGCTCACATGCTCGCCCTTCCTCTCCCAATAAAAGGAGCGGTCCACCACACAGTAGAGCGCCAGGGCGGGGTAGTCATGTCGCAGTGCAGCCAGTGTGGCGCTGTCACACGCCTTGCTGGAGGGGAAGAAGAGGAACCGCAGATTCGGAGCGCCGATGGAGGGAGGCTTGATAGAAGCCTCACCATCATCGTCATAATCATCCATATCATCATCATACTCCCCATCATCCATGAACGAACCGTAATTCTCCACCGTCACCTCCCACTCCTTGTCATGCGGCCCCTCCGCGTGCGCGACAATCCCAAGGCTGCGCAAGTTCCTCCACACCACATCCACCTCCTCGATCGGGATCCCGTGCGTCACTATAAGCACCTCCACGTTTTGCGCTATGGAGCCCAGCCAATTGGTCCAGGAGAAGTTAGAGATGCCGTCTGGAACGTGCTGCCAGGAAGGGGGCAGCTGAGCAGAGAGCCCCGGGCAGCTGGATTCCTCGTCGCTGGCCGGCCCGTTGAGGTACACGGCTCGTGCAGATGCGATGTGGAGGGAGGAGATGACGAGCCGCTCCTGGCCGTACAACGAGAGGTGGTCAAGAGTGAGAGAGGCGCTGCTCTTGCAGGAGAGGATCAGCCACTTGGCCATCACTGATAGGCTCTTGAGGGAGGGTGAGACGGTGAGAGTGAGCTTGAGCTCGTTGCTGGCAAAGCGGAAGCGAAGGAGGCGGGCATTGGAGAAGTTGAAGGCCATGACGTGGGATCCAAACATGGGTCCGCGGGAGAGGTGCCAGTGCTGGTACAGCGTGAACTCGTGCAGCTGCGGTGTGATGGAATCCAAATACTCGAAGCTCACGTGACCCGTATCCACCTGCTTCAGAGTCAAACAACGGATCGACCTCACCCACGCGGCATTTGCACAGCTCTTATCAAGGTTCCACATGCCCCGGCCGAGCTTCAGGCGCTGCAGTTGCGAGCAGTTTTTGAGGAAGCCGAGAGTCCAGTCCTTGTACTCCTGCTCCTCAAAACCGTCCACGAAGCCTCGAAGCTTGATGCTGAAGGAGGAGAGGGAGGGGCTGCAGCGAGCGATCAAGGGGCGAAAAGAGGGGAGCTGCTGCAAGTCTGTGAAGATGAGGTGGAGGGAGGTGATGTGCTGGCCGTGGCGGGTGAGGAAGTAGCGAATGGTTTTCTGCCAGCGCTCATCGTTGTACACGAGGGAGATGGGCTGCCTCTCCTGGATATAATGGGGATCAGGGATATGAGGCTTTGTGAAACGCTTTGGTGCGTTCAGTATCGTTGATGACAGTTGTTGCATGTTCAAGATCTTCATGTTTGTCGGGCTGAAGCTTTGACACATGAAGAAAGTCAATGATTTGCATACGCATATATCCTGATCAGGAAAAGCTGTGAGAATCAGTACGGAAGTTGGACAGATATGGGGAACAAAACGAGCTGCCAGGGGAACGAGGAAGATAAGAGCAGAGGACTTACAGCGAAGGAGAGGACATGGTGGAGAAGCCTCTTGCTGGCAAGAGCACAGCAGAGCAGAGGCCAAGAGGAGCCATAGCTGTTGGCATTGTATTTATGCTGGTCACTGGCGGACGAATCACGGTAAGTGAACATTTTCATGAACTCTGGTCGGTCGTCCAGCTCTTGTCTCTCGTCTGACTGCTCATCCGAGCGGAACCGTAGGCCCCTGTGGCCTTCGGGTTTGTCCACTTGGGGAGGTGACCGCAGGAGGCCGTGGAAGATTTGGTGCCAGGGGGGAGCTGGCAGCATGTCGACCACATCATCGCAAGTGGTGGCTGAAGGGTGAATGACGGGATGCAAAAAAGGGGAGAATAACGACGAGAATGAGAAAATCTCAACGTCGTGTCCCGTTACAGAGAGAAAAGATGGAAAGGTAGCGAAGTACGGAGAACGATAGGATTGACGCGAGAGTGACAGGAAGAACGGACGGGAGTTTCACTAACAGGACAGAGCACAATGAGCAAAGGGGTGGGAGTGGGACGACTAATGACATATTTTTTGCGAGGAACCAATAGGAGAAAAGGAATGAGAGTGGAAAGGGTACAAGGGCGAAGACGAAGACTATGTAAACTGTTTCAGCGTACGAATTGCGAAGATAGCAATACGCGAGATTTGGAAAAGCTACGGCATGGTAGAAGCGTGACGACGACGGGAAAAATGGACTCGAGTGGCGAAGAATAGAAAAGAAGGACGGAATAGTTGAGAGAATCCTCTAAAAACGAATGATGGGATTAACAGCTCTTGCTGCTCGCTCGCCTAAAGCTTCTGCATTACCCTAGCCGACATTAAGATTCTACAGCATAACTATGGTGCCAGCATTTGAGGCTGGAATAAGATTTCGTTTGAGATGCATTTCCGCTGAACTGAGGCATCAACTAATATTCTCGCGAGTGTTCAGCTTTTGAGAAATTCAAAGCACGGACCTGACAACTCCATCAAACAATGCATTTTTTTTTCGACGGGAGGGAGCGAATGGCGAAAGAGAGCACCAATGAGCTAGCGGTAGCGAGTAGCCGTTGAAGTGCTACTTATTCTGTCCAGACCTGGCAAAGATATTGCTCTGCCAGGATGAACTCAGGTATTTGTGTGATGTGCTGTGGTGTTTCCAAGGGGCTTGGTCGTGGCACTGCTGGATGTGGCAGCTTCTCGAAATTCAAACCAAGGGAGAGACCAATTTGTGTGTCCCCACAACGCCAGCTTCCATTTCGACACCACCTGGATTTCGAAACGAGGAGTTCGCTAATGTCGTGGTTTCGCGAGGCTTGTCTGCACGAAGATTTTGCTGGAATGGGCTCTTTCGCGTTCTCAGGCGCTACGAGCGTGACATGGATTACTCATTTGCTTACTACAAGGCCCCCTTGACTCAGTTTAGAAACACTTACCACCACCAAAAACACTTACAACTGACCATCGCGTTCCACCATGCGACTCATCTTGACTTGACTACCCTATCCTGCATAAAAAACAACCGTCCTTGAGGATCAAGTTCATATATCGAATCGGTCATAAAAGCATCAAATTAGCCAGCAGATGTCTCTCATCTTGATCACCTTGTGCATCCCTAGAACCTTCCTTTGTACTTGAACATATGCGCCTCATCCTCCTCAACACTGTACCCCTCCACCAGCTTCCTGTTCACACTGTGCATCTTCTCCCTCACATTCTTCGGCTTCTTCTTGTCATCAAACTTATCCCGCAGCACCCCACTCTTCGCCTGCCGCATATGCTTGAGCGGCACATTGCTCACCCTCTCGCCCTTCCTCTCCCAATAAAAAGAGCGGTCCACCACACAGTAGAGCGCCAGGGCGGGGTAGTCCTGCCGCAGTGCAGCCAGTGTGGGCGCATTACATGCCTTGTGGGTGGGGAAGAAGAGGAATCGCAGAGTTGGAGCACCGATAGAAGGCGGCTTCGCAGGGGCCTTCTTCTTGCGACTCCCTCCCCTTCTTCCACCGTAACCCCTCCCCCCATATTCATCATCATCATCTGAACCATCCCCATCCTCCATATCCTCATCCTCATCATCACCATCCTCTTCGTCATCATCACCATAACAACCACCAAAGCCACCGTCCTCATCCAGATCATCATCGAATTCCCCGTCATCCATGAACGCCCTGTAATTCTCCACCGTCGCCTCCCACTCCTTATTATGCTCCCCCTTCGCGTGCATGACAATCCCAAGGCTGCGCAGATTCCTCCACACCACACCCACCTTCTCAATCGGAATCCCATGCCTCACTACAAGCACCTCTACGTTTTGTGCTATGGAGCGAAGCCATTTAGTCCAGGAAAAGCCGGAAACGCCGCGGGGAACGTGCTGCCAGGAGGGGGGAAACTGGTAGGAGATCATGGGGCAGCTAGAGTCCTCATCACAGGCCGGGCCGTTGAGATAGACCGCTCGTGCGGATGCGACGCGTAGAGAAGAGATGACAAGCCGCTCCTGACCGTACAGCGAGAGGTGATCGAGAGCGAGAGGGGCGGTGCTCTTGCAGGAGAGCACAAGCCACTTGGCCATCACTGAGAGAGTCTTGAGCGCAGGTGAGACGTTGAGAGTGAGCTTGAGCTCGTTGCTGGCAAAGCGGAAGCGGAGAAGGCGGGCGTTGGGGAAGTTGAAGGTCATACTGTGGGAGCCAAAGAGGGGACCGCGGGAGAGGTGCCAGTGCTGGTAAAGCGTGAACTCGTGCAGCTGCGGTGTGATGGAATCAAGATATTCGAAGCTCACATGGCTTGTATCCACCTGCTTGAGGGTCAGACAGCGGATCGACCTCACCCACGCGGCATTCGCACAGCTCTTATCCAGGTTCCACATGCCTCGGCCCAGCTTCAGGCGCTGCAGGTGCGAGCAGTTTTTAAGGAAGCTGAGAGTCAAGTCCCCATCCTCCTGCTCCTCCTGCTCGTCGTCGTCGTCGTCGTCGTCGTCGTCGTCCCCGAAGCTGTCTACGAAGCCCCGAAGCTTGATGCTGAAGGAGGAGAGGGAGGGGCTGCAGCGAGCGATCAAGGGGCGGAGGGAGCGGAGCTGCTTCAGGTCGGTGAAGATGAGGTTGAGGGAGGTGATGTGCTGGCCGTGGTGGGTGCGGAAGTAGCGAATAGTCTTCTGCCAGGGCGTATCGTCGTCGTACACAAGGGATATGGGCTGACTCTCCTGCACCCAATGAGGATTGGAAATGTTGGGCTTTGATAAGTTGATTTGCGAGTTTTGTGACGTTTGTTGCATGTTCAGGGCACTCATGTATGTGCGGTGCACAGAAGCAAGCGTACATGGCGAGGGTAAAACATTTTCATGAGATGTTATTATGAATCATGGATTCCTGTGAGGAAGAGTGAAGAAATCAAAACACTTTGAGGAACAAAAATGAATTGACTGAAGAAACGCCAGGATAGGAGCAGAGGACTTACAGCAAAGGAGAGGACATGGTGGAGAAGCCTCTTGCTGGCGAGAGCACAGCAGAGCAGAGGCCAGGAGGAGCCATAGCCTCTGGCATTATCTTCATGCTGATCGGCAGCGGAGGAATTAGGGTCACTGAACATTTTCAGGAACTCCTATCTGTCGTCCGATTCCATCTTCGAATAGTCATACTTAAGCCTTTCAAACCCTGTGACGCCCGTGGCAGGTTCGGATTTGTCCACTTGGGGTGGCAGCAGCAGGCGGTGGAAGATTTGGTGCCAGAGGCGAGCTGGCAGCATGTCGACCACATCTCGGCGGGTGGTGGCTGATGGGTGAAACGATGGGATGTGAAAATGGGGGAGGCGAAGGAGCTGAATCAGAAAACAGAAAGACTTTGTGTAGCCTTAGAGAGTGACATGGTGGAAGGACATACAGAAACTAAGAGCAAAAAGCGTGACGCTAGAGTGACAAGGAGAATGCGAGTCACGTTCGCAGTAGAGAGAGCGCATGGGGCAACGGGGTGACAACGTGAGAAAGAGTGACGCACAGAACCAGTAGAATCACGCAATGAAAGAGGAAGAGCCGGACTGCATTTGTTGAAAGAGCTACGCCTAACGAAAGATAAGCGGCAGAATGGGATGCGGATGGAAACGTAGAGATTCTGCTACAGCTCTTGCTTCGCACCCACTAAGAACCACATTAGTAAACGCTTTCTCTGCATTATCCTGAACAGCACTACGAATCTTTTGCTGGAACATGGTGCTGGCATTTGTGGCTGAAACAAGAGCTCGTGTGTGAGTTCACCTGCAGGAGAAATGGATATTCGTGTGAGTTCACCTGCAGAGACTTAGCGAGCACGAACCTGGATATTCCATTTATCAAGGCTGGATGTTTCGTCGGCAAAGAGCGAATGGCGAATGAGAGAACCAATGGGATTGCAGGGGCTGGTAGCCGTTGAAACGCTACTAATCTCGTCTCTTCGCGGGAATGGCATCCCAAGACAGTCTCGAGATTTGTTTCCACGGAATAGCTGAGCTGGCAGTGCTGCTTGTCAGTGTCTCAAATTTCAAACCAAGCAGGGATTTGAAATTCGCTGGAGGTGCGTTTCCATACCTGCTACAGTGATAAACGTCAGGTGGATTTGGTGCTTGTTTCGCAACGAAGCCTGTCTCGCGAGGGGGGTTTTCTACACGACGTGCTCTTTGTGTTCCCTGCGCTGCACCTGGATGAGCTCTGCACGAGTTGTTGTGGATGCATCGCTACAAGCATGATGCTGTTTCAGTTTCAAACAAATTGAGTGGGATTTGCTGATAAAATTACACAAATGTACCCCAAAACAGGTGGGTACAATGGTGAAGCCGGAAATTTCTGCAGCATTTTTTTCATGGGTTTAGATTGGATTCTGCAAGGTGCATCATAGTACAATTCACCCTCTTTATAACTTCATCACAACATTACAGCCTGGACCCTAAGTCTTTCTAAACACTTGTGACAAACAAGCTCCAAAGAATAGAACATGTCCAGTGTTCACCATATACTTGGGTGCTGGTGCGTGCGTGCGCCTCTGAACAGGCGCTTGTGCAGCAAGATTGACGATGATGCAGTTCACCTTATCATCTTGAGAATGTCTCCCAAGTCAAGGACAGGCATAGGGCTGTAGAGAAAGCACCACGGAGAGGGACAAGCCAAACAGTCAGTGAGGCGAGCTCAAACAACACGTGGGAAAGAGTGACACGGCATAGAATGGCAAATGCGACTACATCATAACAAGTAAATACACTGAGCAATGGGAGATTGGGTAATGAGAATGCAACAACAAAAGACAGGTATGCAATGAAGATGCCATAAAACATTGCACATGGTTACATGGCTAAATAGCACATGACTACATGGCTACATAGTATATGGCTACATGGCTACATAGCACATGGTTACATGGCTACGTGGCACATGGTTACATGGCTAAACAGCACATGGCTACACAGCACATGGCTACATAGCACGAGGCTACATGGCTACATAGCACATGGCTACATGGCTACATAGCACATGGCTACACGGCTACATAGCACATGGCTACACGGCTACATAGCACATGGCTACATGGCTACATAGCACATGGCTACATGGCTACATAGCACATGGCTACCAGGGCCCAAATTTCAAGGGTAAAATACCCTTTTTGCCCTGATGGTAGGCCGCTTTTTCGCAGTTACCCTTGTGAAATCAGGCTATGAATTTTTTTACCCTAGTGAAATCAGGATTCGTTGTAAACTACACTGGTAACAATTTTGGTTACACTGGCTGTATCAGGGTACGGGCCCAGCTACACTTCTACCGGATCTTTTTTTAACCGAGGATTCCGCCACAGTGCGCGCCAAGACAAAATTCTCCACGGTCCCACTGGACCATTTGTACGGTATGCCCACTGGCGTGGCGCGCCAACGTAGAAGCAGTGCGGCTGCACGTGCGCTTGTACGATTGGTCCGTTAAGCAAGATTTGCGCCAACGCACCCGGGTTTAGGGCGTTCATGTTTGTCAAACAGCCTAACAACAATTCTACCCTGGTACAATCAGTGTAACAGGATTTTTTGGCTGTTTTAGGCTGCTGGCATCAGGGTACGGAAATTTTAACCCTAAGGGTCAGGGTACGGGGGGCCTGGTACCCTGATTTGCAAGAGTGGACCTAAACCTATTTTGGGCCCTGATGGCTACATCCTGTGATGACATTAGAAAGTTACCTGGGTGCAATAGGAGGTTTAGTTACCTCGACGGACGAGGAAGTTTCCTGGGCCGATAAACAAGTTCCTGGGCGCACACGGAAGTCACCTGGATGCACGAGGAAGGTACCTCGGCAAATGAGGAACCTACATGGAAGGTTCCTGGGCACACGAGGAAGTTACTTGGATGCACAAGAAAGTTACCTGGATGCACGAGGAAGTTACCTGGGTGCACAAGGAAGTTACATGGGCACACGAGGAAGTTACTTGGATGCACAAGGAAATTTCCTGGACGCACAAGGAAGTTACTGGACACACAGAGAACTTACCTGGATGCACGAGGAAGTTACCTGGGTGGTTCAGCTTTGGGGGAAGGTGGAGGCAAGGGGCCAGCAGAGGCAACAGGGGCAGCGGAGGCAGTAGGGGGAGTGGTTCGGGGGAAGCGGAAGGTGCCACCAGTAGGTGGTGCGCTCATTCGAAAAGGTCTTGTATCCGCCACTGCCGCTGCCTCTGCCGGCCCTTCTGCCCCTGGTGCTACTGCACGTGATGCACCCGCCTTTGCCGCTGCTGCTCCTCCTTTTGCCTTTCCAGCAGCAGCTGCTGCTGCCCTCCCCTTGCCTGCCGTCTTTCCCCTTCCAGCTGCTGCCTTCCCGCCTGCTCCTGCCCTCCCCTCTGCCAATGCCCTCCCTCCCACTCCATCCACAGCAGCAGCAGTGGGAACCTGTGACGACACTGATGCTGTATCTGTGTCTGGAGAGGGAACCGCATTACCACCTGCGGCTGCTGCCCCTGCTGCTGCTGCTGCCCCTGCTTCTGCTTCTGCTGCTGCTGCTGCTGCAGCTGCCCCTGCTTCTGCTTCTGCTGCTGCTGCTGCTGCTTCTGCTGCCTCCGCTGCTGCCTTTCCTCGTCCCACCGCCTTCCCTCTCCCTGGTGCCTTCCCTTTTCCAGCGGCAGCAGCAGGTACAGCACTAACAGGTGCTGCACTAAAAGGTGCAGCAGGAGGAGCCGCAGCAGCAGAAGCCGCAGGATCAGCAGCAGCGACTGGAGGTTTAGCAGCACGAGGTCTACCTCGCTTCTTGGCTGCTGGAGGTGCCCCATTCGCAGAAGCAGAATCAAGATCATCTGCACCAGAAGCAGCTCCAGTAGCAGCAGCCACAGTAGGCACATCGGCAGAAGGAGGGGGTTTGTCAGCCGCCCGGCCGCGCTTCTTGGCTGCGGCAGGTGCAGCAGCAGCAGCGCTACTGGCAGCCCCAGCGGCACCCGCACTGGCAGCAGCGACTTCATCCGCTGCAGGAGCAGCAGCAGTGCTGGTAGATGCGGCCTTGGCAGCGGCAGCAGCGGCAGCAACAGGTGGAGGATGAGCAGGAGGACTCACAGCAGCCCTACCCCTACCCCTACCCCTACCCCTACCCCTCCCCCTCCCCCTCCCCCCTGCTCTTCCAGCTGCTGGAGCAGCCGCCTCCCTGGTGCTCGCAGTCTTGGCTGCTGCAACAGCTGGAGCAGCAGGGGCAGCAGCAGCAGGGGCAGCAGCAGCAGCAGGGTCAGCAGAAGTAGCAGTATCAGCAGCTGCTGCTGATAGCCCCTTGTGGCCTTTCTTCCCTGTGCTTGCCTCCTTCCCTCCACTCAGACCCTCCGCCTTCCCTGCACCCTCCGCCTTCCCTGCACCCTCCGCCTTCCCTGCAGCCCCCTTTCCCTTGGCATCCCTCATCCCTTTGCCCTGGTTTGCTCCCTTGCTTGCGCTGGCAAGCTTCTTGTTCTTTTCATCCAGTTTCCTCTCCTCTTCATCCTCCTCCTCACTCTCCTCCTCACTCTCATCCGCACCTTCTATCTCACTCTCTTCCTCTTCCTCCTCCTCCACTCCCCCCTCACTCTCTGTCTCGCTCCCCTCGCTCTCCTCCTCACTCTCCTCGCTCTCTTCCTCACTCTTCTCATCCTCTGCACCAACAACTTTCCCTCCTAATCCTGCTTCTCCAGCTTTGCTTTCTCCCTTGACTGCTCCGTCTTGTTTACCTCCCCCTGCCTTGAGTGCGGCTGCTTTACCCACCGCTGCTTTGCTGTCTGCTCCTGCTTCCATCATACTTGCTGCTTCTTGTTTGCCTCCCGCTTCCTTCAATGCAGGTTGCTTGTCTTGTGCTGCTTTACCCACCGCTGCTGCTTTTCCTTCCGTCTTGCTTGCTGCTTCTTTCGTTGCCACTGCTTTGCTCGCAGCAGCAGCAGACGCTCTCGTCTGAGCCTTGTCTGTTCGCTCCTTGTTTCCCTCTGCACCGCTCTCCAACACCACCACCTCATCATCTGACTCCTCTTCTTCCTCCTCTTCCTCTTCCTCTTCCTCTTCCTCTTCCTCCTCTTCTTCCTCTTCCTCTTCCTCTTCCTCCTCCTCGTCCTCCTTCTCTTCCTCCATTTTGTCTGTCTTTCTTCTATCCTTCCCTACCACCTCCTTCTCTTTCACCTTTCCTTTCGTTCCTGCCTCCTCGTCTACCTCCTCCGCTGTCTCTTCCTCTGAATCTTCCTCTGTCTCAGAATCATCACCGTCAGTTTCCGTCTTCCCATCCTCCTTCCCCTCTGCCTCTGGAACCTTCACTTTCTCATCGTCATCCTCCTCCTCTTCCTCTGATTCTTCTTCTGTCTCAGAATCATCACCGCCAGTTTCCATCTTCTCCTCCTCCTTCGACTTTGCCTCTGAAGCTTTCACTTTCCCCTCCACATCCTCCTCCCCCTCTTCTTCCTCTTCTTCCTCCTCTTCCCCTCCCTTCTCCTCTTCCGCCTCCTCTTCCTCCGCTTTATCTGTCTTTCCTCTATGTTTTCCTACCACTTCCTTCTCTTCCGCCTTCCCTTCCTTTCCCGCCTCCTCCTCTACCTCCTCATCTGTCTCTTCGTCCGATTCTCCTTCTGTCTCGGAATCATCACCACCATCTTCCGTCTTCCCCTCCTCCTTCGCCTCTGCCTCCGACTTTTTCACTTTCCCCTCCTCATCCTCCTCCTCTTCTTCCTCCTCTTTGTCTGTCTTCCCCTTCTCCTTCCCTTTCACTTCCTTTTCTTTCACCTTTCCTTTCTTTCCTGTCTCCTCCTCTACCTCCTCCTCTGTCTCGTCGTCCGATTCTCCTTCTGTCTCGGAATCAACAGCACCATCTTCCTTCTTCCCTGCCTCCTCCGCCTCTGCCTCTGAAACTCTCACTTTCTCCTCCTCTTCCACCTCCTCTTCCTCGTCGGTCTCCTCGTCCTCCTCATCTTCCCCATCCTCTGATTCCTCTTTCTCAATCTCCATATCCTTCCCTTCCCCTTTCCCGTCCTCCTTTCGCTCCTCCTTTCCCTCCTCCTCATCATCAGTCTCATCACTCTCCTCCTCACTCTCCTCACCCTCATCCCTCACCACACTCACCAGTTCCTCATTCTTACCCCCTCCACCACCACCCTTCACCCCAGCACCCCGTGCACTATCGCCAACACCCTGTGATGCCTTTCGAGACGTCTCAACACCCTGAGGTGTATGGCCCTCCCTCACCCCATTCATTTCTCTCTCCTCCACCACCTCATGCCCTCCCTCCTCTGCTGCTTTCCCCTTCCCACCTGCTTTCCCTTCCTTTCCCTTCACCTCATCTTTCCCTTTCACCTCATCTTTCCCTTCCCCCTTGGTACTTTTCTTCTCCTTCACCCCTTCACTCTCCTTCACCTCATCCCCTCCACCCCTCTCTTTCCCCCCCACACTCGCATCTCTCTCTTCCCCCTTCCCACCCCCTCTCCCCTCCAACTCAACTCCATCCACCGACCCCCCATCCCTCTCTCTCCCCTCCACCACCCCATCCTTCTCACTCCCCTCCTCTCGTCTTTGTCTTTTCCCTCCCCGTCCCACATCCTCACTCCCCTCGCCCAGCCTCTTCCCATCAGCGTTCTCAGCATCTACAGACGTCTCTGCCTTCCCCCGACCTTCCCCCTCTCCAGTGCCATCACCCATGCTCTGCTCTTCCACACTATCCCTCCTCCGCTTCCTATCACGCCCCCCTTCCTGCCCCCCATTCCCCGCCCCTTCCCCCTCCCTGCCACGACCTTCACTGTCCACCTGCCCACCCATCTGCGCCTCCCCTCCCCCTCCCCCGCCTCCTGCTCCCCTGATTCCCCCCTCTCCCGTCCCCCCATCTGTCAGCAGGGGCACACTGCCCCCTCCCCTCCCCTCCACGCCCCCCCTCTCCAACCGCATTCTCTTCCCCCCTCCTACCACCACCAACCCCCTCACTCTCCTCCTCTCTCCTGATTCACTGACCACCTCCACGCCCCTCCCTGCCACGTCAGCAGCAGCGAGGGCGGCCAGCAGCCCACGCTGGAATGCCACGTGGTCGCTGGAGAGACTGCCACGTGGCAGTTGGTGGTGAGGAGATGGTGAGTGGTGGTCGAGAGGGCTAAAGGGGGACTCGTCGTGACTCGGCGGGGAGAAGCCGAAGGCAAGGCGGTGTGTCAGATGGTCTGTTGGGTAGGCATGAAAGGGAGATGGTGAATGGTCGTGGTGAGGGATAAAGGGAGACTCGTCGTGACTCGGGAGGGGGGAGCCAAAGGCAAGGTGGTGTGTCAGATAGTCTGTTTGGTAGGCATGAAAGAGTATGAAATGGAGAGGGTGAAAGGAGGTGGAGGAGGCGCAGAGAGTGAGAGGGGGGAAGAGAGAAAATGACGAAGTAGAGAGTTGTGAGGTTTAAGAACAAAGCCATCGCGCTCATTCGCACGTGGGCGGCGGGACTTGGAGCATCGAGAATGATTGAGTCGCATCTTCAAAAGGAGTGCCATGCAAAGAAGGGGCTGTTTACCATGTGAAGCTTGGTACTCAGACTGACTCACCCACCCCAGCCCGCGAAAAGGTACTCAGAACGAAGAAAGGACAAAGGAAAACTAACAAACAAAGAAACCAGCAAGTAAAACCATGCACAAACAGCTGAGGCACCTCCGACCTATCAGAACCCAAGGAAGCTCACCGCTGACATCAGCAGCAACGTCAGCATCCGCGGTGAAAGCGAGGATGACGTCATCAGGTTTCAACACGTCGGCCACTCTGAGTTGCGGGGGGACGGCGAACAGGGCGGCTTGGCGCAGCACCTGATGAGGGGAGCATGGAGAGTACGGAGGAGAGAACAAGGGGAGAAGAGAGGGATGAGAGGGATACGAGGGGGATCAGAGGGATAAGTGGGGGCTGACACGGAGGAGTGACAAACAGGGCGGCCTGGCGCAGCACCTGATGAGGGGAGCATGGAGAGTATGGGGGAGAGAAGAGAACAAGAGGAGAAGAGAGGGATGAGAGGGATGCGAGGGAAATCCGAGGAATAAGTGGGGGCTGACATGGAGGAGTGGCGAACAGGTGCAGTTTTGCTGGGTTTCTGAACCAAACTGCCAACTGCCGCGATTCTGGGTACAACCCTGAAGCCTGTGGAATTTGGTATGATGGAGCATGCTCCAAGATGATTTGATCTGTAGAATAGAGCAGGGTGGAGCCATGGTTCAGGCGTCGAGTGCAAACATTTTGGAATTTCTAAGCCGAGGATGTGGGTGCTGGAAAGACACTGGCGGACTTCTAAGGAGGGGTTTAGGGGGTTTGGGTTTGAATAAATGACATGCGCCAGAAAGGGGTGGCACGTGTCTTAAGGAGGGCGAGCACACACCTTGATGGACTCGAAACGTATGCTCCCCATGTGCGGGTGTATGTGCTCGTGCTGCTGCCCCACCATGCCTGCCATCCACCCATGGGGGGAGGGGCGTGTGAGGGACATGAGGAATTGAGGAAAGGGAGAGAGAGTGGAGGAGGAGGAAAAAGGGGAAGGAGGGGGAGCAGGAGGAGGGGGAGGAGGAGGAGGAGGAGGAGGAGGAGGAGGAGGAGGAGGAGGAGGAGGAGGAGGAGGAGGAGGAGGGGGAGGAGGAGGATGGAGGGGGGGGGGGGGGAGGAGGAGGAGGAGGAGGAGGAGGAGGAGGAGGAGGAGGAGGAGGAGGAGGAGGATGGGGGGGGGGGGGGGAGGGGGAGGTGGAAGGGGAGGAGGAGGAGGAGGAGGAGGAGGAGGAGGAGGAGGAGGAGGAGGAGGAGGAGGAGGAGGAGGAGGAGAAGGAGGAGGAGGAGGAGGAGGAGGAGGAGGAGGAGGAGGAGGAGGGGGAGGAGGAGGAGGAGGAGGAGGAGGAGGAGGAGGAGGAGGAGGGGGAGGAGGAGGATAGAGGGGGGGAGGAGGAGGAGGAGGAGGAGGAGGAGGAGGAGGAGGAGGAGGAGGAGGAGGAGGAGGAGGAGGAGGAGGAGGAGGAGGAGGAGGAGGAGGATGAGGATGCGGAGGAGATAGTATGGAGAGGTTTGGGAAGAAGGGAAAAGGAGCAAAGAAGCGAAAGCATAATAACGGACATAATTGAGGGGGGTGGAGGCGTGGAAGGGGAGAAAATTCGTGCAGTGAGGAAAGGGGGAAGAAGGTGAGGTGGATCCACCGTGGTTAGAAGCACGTGACCCGTTACGGCGCGTGGGCCCGCCAGGGCAGGCGATCAACGCTCTTGCACCGCCTCAAGCCGCGCGGTTTGAGGCGCAGGGTTTAAGCCAGAATTCGAGGCGCGGTTTGTAAGTCGCAGGGTTTGAGGCGCCAGGTTAAGGCAAAGGGTTAAAGTCGCAGGAATGGAGGCGCAAGTTGTAAGGCGCATGGCTTTACAGAGCGGGCGTAAAGGCATGAGGATCAAGGCGTGGAATTCTAACGCGGGGTTTAAGGCGCGGGTTACAGTACTGTGTTTTAACGTTTCCTTTTTAAGACATCGTAAGAAGCAGAGGGAGACAGCATGTGGGAGGCAGGGAGACCACAGGTGGTGAGATGGGGAGTGCAGCGAGCGAGTGAGTAGATGTGTTGTCTGTCAGTCGACTACTTCATAGGGGACGGGGGAAGGCACAGTGAAGGGGGGGTTGATATGAGTGAGGGAGAGGCTTCAGGGAGGAAATGAGGGAGAGGGGAGACAAGGGGAGACGAGGGGGACGGGGCAACGAGGGGGAATACGGGAGACGAGGGGTGCGGGGCGGGAGAGGGGAGGACGGTGGAGACGAGGGGGGCGGGGAGGGCGAGGGGGGGACAGGGGACACGGGGGGACGAGGGGGGCGTGGGGGACGGGGGAGACGAGGAGGGCGTGCGGGGCGGGGGGGACGGAGAGCGCGAGGGGGACGCACGGAGGAGATCGCTGATGGCGGCGGTGGGAACGGCGGGGACGAGCAGGCGCGTGCCGAGCACGGTGTGCACGTGCATGCACCACGCCGAGATGTCGCCTCCCCCATGTGGCACCTCCGACGGCGATACCAACCCTCTCGCCGGCATAACTCCCGCCGCTTCCCCACCCGCCACTACCCCCGTCGCTACCCCTCCCCCTCCCATCTCTACCGCTCCCCTCCCTGCTCCGCCCCTCCCTGCCCCGCGCGTCGCTGCGCCTCCCCGCACGCCCGCTGGTCGGCCTCGCGCCATGGCGGCAGCTTCTCGTGCGCCTCAACAAGAACCGGCTCCCTTTTCCAACGATCGCTGTGCGATGCCTGTGCGATCCCCGTGCGATGCCTGTGCGATGCCTGTGAGTCGACTCAAGGGCGCCGCTCGTGCGCGTCAACGGAAATGAATCCTGAAAATCCCTATTTTCCTAGTTCTTTTTGAAAGCTCCGGTGCCTCGATCGCATTTGCTAAACCGTTCCTGCAGCGGACGGAGATTGTTGAGGCGCCTACGAAACGGACGGCGCTGATGCTCGATGGCGTCTTAGCACGCTGCGATAACCGTGACGCCTTTCCGAATCACCTGCACGCTAGCGTGAATCGAGTCGAAGCAAGGAGCCCATGGGGAGAACGAGGATCGCTGTTGACTAACCACGGCCTTGAACTAATTATTTATAACCCTGTAGGTAACTTGGGCTGATGCACAGAGCCCTGACTCCTGAACCCTAAGCCTCGACCTATTTGTTTGGTGGTGATGTAAGCTTTGCGGACCAACGTGTTCTGTAGTTGTTGTGTCATCCTTGTAGCGAAGCATAAAGAAAATCAACCCTCACTCCAGTCAGAGACCGCTCTAATGGGACAGGTTCTCCCATCTGGCAGATTCTGTTCGTGGAAGAACAACGCCCACAGCACCTCGTGTCGAAACTCATCCTCGTGAGTCAGCACCCAATCATCCGACCTGCCTCGGCAACAGCTCTCTAATTACGTCCTAACCCTCCAGGCAACCTGTTGACACGACCAGCGAATTTCAGATTCCCGCCTGGTTTGAAATCTGAAACCCTGACATGTGAGGCCGCATTGTCAGCTCAGAATTTTGGAGTTGGCCTTGGGAACATCACATTCCAGACGCATGAATCTCGGGACTGCCATTGCCACCACCATTAGGCGCGAAAGCTGTGACAAGAATAGTTGCGCTTCAACGGCTACCAGCCACTGCAATCTCATTGGTGCTCTCATTCGCCATTCGCTCTCTAACGACGAAAAAAATCCAGGTTCGTGCTCGCGAAGCCACTGCAGGTGAACACGCACAGATATCAATCTTACATGATGTGTTTGACAACTCTTTCCCACAAATGTCGGGAGGGACCATCGTCCAATGACATATTCGTAGTGCTGTTCAAGATATTGCAGAGAAAACGATTACAAAGGTGAATAATAGCGGGAGAGCAGCAAGAGCTCTAAGCTTTCCATCCTATTTCCTCGCACAAATCCCATTCCCTGCCGCTTATCGTTCGTGTGGCTTCGCTCCTCTTCAATGCAGCCCGGTTCGTCCTCTAGTGCTTCATTCTACTGGTTCTTTCCGCATAAATGTGTCACTCTTTCTCAAGTTCCCACACCGTTGCCCCAACGCTCTCCCTGCTGCGAGCGTGACTCACATTCTCCCTGTCATTCTAGTTTCATGCCTTTTGCTCTCAGTTACTGTATTTTCTTCCACCAAATTTCACTGTAAGGTTTCACAAACCGTTCTCGATATTTTCTTATTCAGCTCCTTATCCGTCCCGATTTTCACACTCCATCGTTTCACCCATCAGCCACCACCCGCCGTGATGTGGTCAACATGCTGCCAGCTCGCCTCTGGCACCAAATCTTCCACCGCGTGCTGCAGCCACCCCCGCAAGTGGACAAACCTGAAGTCGCCACGCGATTTAGAAACCCAAGACGTGACTCTTCGAAGAAGGAACCGGACGACCGACCTGAGTTCAAGAAAATGTTCACTCACCGTGATTCCTCCGCTAGTGACCAGCATGAGTTTAATGCCAGAGGCTATGGCTCCTCCTGGCCTCTGCTCTGCTGCGCTCTCGCCAGCAAGAGGCTTCTCCACCATGTCCTCTCGTTCACTGTGAGTCCTCTGCTCTTATGAAGCGCCTCAAAAGCCACCATGTCCTCTCCTTCGCTGTGAGACCTCCGCTCTCATCCTCGTATTTCTTCAAGCAGCCCATGCTTCTCCTTAAGTTTTTTGATTTCCTCACTGTTTCTCACAGCTATCCATGATCCAGAATGAAACGTTTTGAGAATTCTCAAAAGTAACATGAAAAGCATTTACTTTCTCCATGTATGCATGCTTCTGCCCAACAGGCATGTACACCTTGAACATGCAAGAGACATCTCGAAAATATCTTAAAACCCGCGAATTAAGTTCTCAGAGCCCAATATTTCCTGTCTTCATTTGGTGCAGGAACAACTACCCATCTCCCTCGTGTACGGCGACGAGCGCTGGCAGAAAACCATTCGCTACTTCCTCACCCGCCACGGCCAGCACATCAGCTCCCTCCACCTCATCTTCACCGACCTGAAGCAACTCCGCTCCCTCCGCCCCTTGATCGCTCGCTGCAGCCCCTCCCTCTCCTCCTTCAGCATCAAGCTTCGCGGCTTTGTAGACAGCGACGAGGAGCAGGAGTACAAGGACTGGACGCTCACCTTCCTCCAAAACTGCTCGCACCTGCAGCACCTGAAGCTGGGCCGAGGCATGTGGAACCTCGATAAGAGCTGTGCGAATGCGGCCTGGTTGAGGTCCATCCGCTGCCTGACCCTCAAGCAGGTGGACACCAACCACGTCAACTTTAAGTATCTGGACTCCATCACACCGCAGCTGCACGAGTTCACGCTCTACCAGCACTGGCACCTCTCCCGCGGGCCCATGTTTGGCTCCCATGAGATGAAATTCTCCTTCCCCAATGCCCGCCTCCTCCGCTTCCGTTTCGCCAGCAACGAGCTCACGCTCACCCTAACCGTCTCCAAGGCTCTCAAGACTCTATCAGTGATGGCTAAGTGGCTCGTGCTCTCCTGCAAGAGCACCGCCCCTCTCACTCTCGACCACCTCTCACTGTATGGCCAGGATCGACTTGTCATCTCCACCCTCCGTCTTGCATCTGCACGAGCCGTGTACCTGAACGGCCCTGCAACCGACAAGGGCAGCAGTCGCCCCAGGATATCCTACCAGTTTCCGCCTTCATTCCAGCACGCTCCCCGTGGCGTTTCCAGCTTTTCGTGGACCAAATGGCTGCGCTCTATAGCGGGAAGCGTGGAGGTGCTTGTAGTGAGGCACGGAATTCCGATTGAGGAGGTGGGTTCGGTGTGGAGGAAGCTTCGCAGCCTTGGGATTGTCGCGCACGCAAAGGGGCAGCATAATAAGGAGTGGGAGGCGACGGTGGAGAATCACAAGGCGTTTATGGATGACGGGGAGTATGATGATGATTTGGATGAAGATGGCTTTGGTGGTTATGATGATGAGGATGACGAGGAAGAGGATGATGATTATGATGATGATGATGCTGATGAGGATGAGGATGAGGATGAGTATGGTTCTTCTGACGATGATGATGTGTATGGGGGGAGGGGTTATGGTGGGAGAGGGGGAAGAGGCCGCAAGTCTGTGCAAAAGAAGAAGAAAGAGAAGGTCTGTGCCAAGCCGCCATCCATCGGCGCTCCCAACCTGCAGTTCCTCTTCTTCCCCACGCGCAAGGTGTGTGACGTGCCCACACTGGCTGCACTGCGGCAGGACTACCCCGCCCTGGCGCTCTACTGTGTGGTGGACCGCTCCTTCTACTGGCACAGGAAGGGGATGCCTGTGAGGGATGCGCCGCTGGAGCATGTGCGGCAGGCAAAGAGCGGGGTGCTGCGGGATAGGTTTGATGAGAAGAAGCAGCTGAAGAATGTGAGGGAGAAGATGTACAGTGTGAATAGGAAGCTGGTGGAGGGGTACAGTGTTGAGGAGGACGAGGCGCATATGTTTAAGTACAAGGGAAGGTTCTAGGAGATGACGCGTTATGCAGGCAATACTATATTAGAATGCAATAGCCATCATTACTTGCCTTTGCTGTAGCCGTGAGTGTAATCATGCGTTTTGGTATTTATATTGACGACTACCTGATGCTTCAATCTCCAAGTTGCACGTGCCTCTGGCTTCTTCAATAAAGAGCAGTTGCATTGTAGAAATCGACTTGATTGTTGTGATTTTTGAGTGCGTACATTTGTGAGAGTATCCCTTCAAGGGCCTCAGAAATCAGGGATTTTACCCTGATTTTGAGTTTGAACGCTGATTTTCAGAGCTTTTTTAGGCCACAAGGCTGATTGAAAAGTTTAAAATTTTATCCCGACTCTGATGTTACAGCTAGTTTTGTCGCACTAAGGCTGAATTCTCTGGCAACTTTTACCAGGGGGGCCTGATTCGAATCCCATTGTATCGAGGCTATCCTGTTGACGAAAATGCCTAGATTCATGGAATCTTGCAAACTTTTCGCCAAAAATTTCAGCCATCACCGTCAATCACGGGAAACGTACATGGCGTCGCACCTGCCTTGATGTGATGTCGTCATCATCTGTCAACCTGGGAAGGGAATGGGCAGTTTCGGATAATCACACGCCGTACCCAATCACGTGCCCGGGACTGGCAAGATTCCACTGCATCACGGTTGTAAACCGTGTCGCTGTGGAAACGCGCCGAAAACAGGGGCACATCCGTCTTTGTGGATGGGCCATCGCGGACCATCCTTGCCTGCATGGTGGGTTTCGTCCCTTTCAACCAATCCACAGCGAGGTAGGGTGTCCCTCCCTTCCCCATCTTCCTCACCCCATTCTCGGTTTGTGTTAGCCTTTCTTCGCTCTCTCTGTTTTCTCGGCTGACTCCCCTCCATTCTCCTCTCGTCCTTACTGCCGCAATGGCTGGACACGTTGATGGAGTTGCTGCCGACGACGAGCCTGATGACATCGAGGTCGAGATAGCACCCACGGGTTTAGACATGTTGCTGTGTTCGTTGTCGAAAGCCACCACTCCGCCGTGTAGCAAGAATCATACCGTTAGTTCAGCAACAGCTATTCCTACTGAAAATTCCGCCCCACCAGATTCTATTGGCGACCCAGTCATAGATAGAACGACGCCACCCACTGATGTTACTGACTCTGTACCGATGATGGTACAGATTTCGCCGTCAACACCAGCAGAGGCTTCCCCGGCTTCTCGCCACGTTCCACCGCCATCTCAAACACGAGCTCCTGCGGAGGCGTCCCGGGCTTCTTGCCACGTTCCACCGCCATCTCAACCACCAGCTCTTGCGGAGGCGTCCCGGGCTTCTCGCCTCGTTCCACCGCCATCCCAACCACCAGCTCCTGCGGAGGCGTCCCGGGCTTCTCGCCTCGTTCCACCGCCATCCCAACCACCAGCTCCTGCGGAGGCGTCCCGGGCTTCTCGCCTCGTTCCACCGCCATCCCAACCACCAGCTCCTGCGGAGGCGTCCCGGGCTTCTCGCCTCGTTCCACCGCCATCCCAACCACCAGCTCCTGCGGAGGCGTCCCGGGCTTCTCGCCTCGTTCCACCGCCATCCCAACCACCAGCTCCTGCGGAGGCGTCCCCGGCTTCTCGCCTCCTTCCACCGGCATCCCAACCACCAGCTCCTGCAGAGGCGTCCCCGGCTTCTTGCCTCGTACAGTCAAAGCTCAACTGGTTCCGCGGTCCATCAATGCCACCGACGGTACCCACCGACGTCCCGCTTCCGCCCGTACCCGAAGCTGCAGCCTCGAACCAGCAGTCAGGAGCTGTACTTGCTGTTGAAAGATTCAAATCCCGGTGGCAAGGTCAATTTGCATTATTCAAACTTCAAGTGTGTAGAATTTCACTACTATAGCAGCTTGATAGAGCTCAGAAGCACAATTCCAATGCACCAAAGTTTGCAAGAAACGGTCAACTATAGCAAAAGATACACAGAAACATACCGTAGCAGTGATAATGACTTAGTTCTTTTCTGGTTTCTGCTCTCTGGTTTTATGGTAGAACGTGATACAAAAACAAAGCACACAAGAAAGTGTCGACCCGGGTCGCACGCTGAATTTTGTCAACGCAAAATTCGAAGCCGTAAATTTCGCCGGGCGAATTATATTGACTGGAATTCTGTAGACGAGAATTTCCGCGACCAGAATTTCGACGACCACCGACTGTAACTGCCGTGCGAATTCCGTTTCTTCGACATTTCACTGCCGGGTTTCAATCCGAACGCGACCCGAGACCGATTTTGCCAAACTGTCCCAAAACTGTTCCAAAATACTATTTTGGGATACTTGAATTGAGATGTCTCCAGTTCGAAACTCGCGTGCACCAAAACCAGCGCCTTAGCAGAAACTGTCTTGAATCTGTCCCGAGACACTTTCAAGGTAGATTGAAGGTCACGAGTTCGAATCCCAGCGCCGTCATTTTGTTGCTTAAGGCAGCATTTCCTTCTAACACGCCCCCTTGCTGTTAGGAGCATGCTGCACATCAACGGTTGAAGGCTGCCTTGTCGAGCCGCTTCGTAAAGACGTATGCGGGCTGCACTGTCGTAGGGATGTGCTGCAGCTCCAACTTCTTCATGCGCACCATGTCCTGCAGCCACATGTGGCGACGGTGGACATGCTTCATGCGCCCCTGCATCCCGCCCGCCCGGCTGAGTTGCACTGCGGACATGTTGTCGACGTACAAGGTGGTAGGAACACCCTTCGTGAGCAGCTGAAACTCCCACAGCAGGAACCTCAGCTTGCGCCCCTCCTTGCTAGCTTCTACTGCAGCCACAAGCTCGCTCTCGGTGGAGGAGAGCTTGGTTGCACCCTGCAGTTTCTTGGCCTGCCAGGAGACGGCAGCTCCGCCAAGCGTGAAGAGGTAGCCTCCGTGGATGACTGGTTCTCCTTATCGCCAACATCATCAGCATCCGCATACCCCACGAGGGACAAGCTCTCTGGTCCTCCCTTGAACAGCAGTCCCATGCCCGGTGAGGCAGCCCAGTAGGAGAGGGTGCGGAAGAGTTCGTGCCAATGAGCATCCGTCCTCAGGTGCGCACCTGCGGCAAGGCGACTGCACGCAAAAGAGAGGTCATGACAGGTTGAGATGGCTGCAAAATGCACCATGCCGAGAATTGACAAATACTCGGTCTTTGTTCGGTTGGAAAATTAGCCCGGCATCCTGCTTGCCAAAGCAGGCAGAGGAGAGAGGAGTGATGGGCTGCTTCTTAGGTGGCGCCCCCTTGATGAACCGCTGCTGCACCTTCGCCACGTATGCGTTTTGGTGCAGGAGGAGCGTCCTGTTGGGGCGGTCGCGCACAATCTGCAGCCTGAGGTAGCGTTCCACTGGTTCCACCTCACGCCTTGGCTAGCTGCTCCTTCAGGTCCTGCAGCAGCTGCTTGTCTTCACTTGCCGCTAGCAGGTCATCCACGTAGACTAGCAGCCACACGCGCTTCCCGCTCGCCCCATCCTTGTTGATGTGAATGGGTTGTTGGCCCCGCCCTCGCTTGGGGGACGCTGACTTCCTGGTCAGGCGCGCGAGTGGTGCGGCCGACTGTTCTGCAGAGCTCGACGCGTGCTGGTCGACGGGGCTGTTGACCTGCAGGCGACCGCTGCGATGCCGCCGTGGATGAGAGCCGGCGGCCTAGTTCGACAGGGGAGGTCGACGGAGCAGTCCGTCGACCTGCATGGAACTTGTGAGCGACCGTCGACGAGGAGAGCTCGGCGACTGCAGCTGACAGTACTGGTCAACGGAGGGGTCCATCGACCAGGGTGGTCTTTGACGGGAGCTATGGTCGACAAGGGAGGTCGTCGACCAGAGCACTGGGTGGTCGACCTGGTCGCTGTCCTTAGCATCGTTGCTGTCCTCGACCTCAACCTGATGCAGCTCGACATGAAGAACGCCTTCCTGCAGAGCAAGCTCGACAGGGTGTTGTACATGTACCAGTCGGACTACTACGACGACGGCACCGGCCGGGTATGCAAGCTGCTGAAGAGTCAGTACGGGCTGAAGCAGTCGCCGCTGCTGTGGTACAAGGCGCACGACGACGTGCTGACTGTCGCCGACTGGAAGAAGAGCCAGGGCGATGACGTGCTGTGCTTCAAGGTCGGCGACGACGGAGTGACCTGCTGGGTGCTGGTCTACGTCGACGACCTGGTCGCAGCCAGCAGCAGCACCACAATGCTGAAGGAGCTGATGGAGCTGCTGGAGGCCGCCTTTGAGCTGCGCGAGATCAGCCCCGTCGAGAGGTATCTTGGGCTGGAGATCGTGCGCGACCGACCATCGAGGAAGCTGTGGTTGCACCAGCAGGAAGCCACTCCTTGAAGGCAGCAAGCGCGTCGCTCTTCAGCTTCAACGTCTTCCCCCAAGTATAACGTGAGGCGTGGTCCACAAAGACGATGTAGTACCTGCTTCCATCCATGGCAGGGGTCTGAAATGGACCGCACACGTCAGAATGGACCAGCCCAAGAACCTAACCCTCTCGCTCGTCATGCAGCGGAAAAAATTGGCGAGTGAGTTTGGCTTCGTGGCAGGAGGTGCACGGCATATCCTCACCTCCTTTCTCCAGGTCCATGCCTAGCACGCCACCGCTCATGGCTGTCCGAGGCGAGCGTGCCATAGGTTGGGAGTTGCCTTGGAGCCCACTGCGTATGTCTTGAGGCTGGCCGCTCCTTCCTTAACTTCCGACTTGCTTGACGCCACATCAGCAATCTCCTTAGCCCTGCCCGCGGGCTGCCCGCCGCCGGCCCTGCCCTGCCCACGCGCCGCCCGCCGCCGTGACCCCTGCCCTACCCGCGCGCCGCCGCTGCTGAGCACCCTGCCCTGCCCGCGCGCCGCCCGCCGCCGTGCGCCCTGCCCTGCCAGCGTGCCGCCAGCAGCCGCGCGCCCTGCCCTGCTCTTGCGCCGCAAGCAGCCGCGCTGCCCTTCCTATGCGCCGCCCTGCTGGCCACTGCCCTGCCCTGCCCTCCTTGCGTGCTGCCCTGCTGCTAGCACGCTCGCCTGCTCTGCC